CTGATGGCAGGAAGCCTAAAAGGCTCATTAAAGCCCTGCTGCTGTGCCAGCCGTGCTCACCCGGTGCCTGGGCAGCTCCGGGCACACCGTGACCACTCTGCCAGCACTGGAGCCAGCCTGGTGTGTGCATGGTGCATCCCCCAGTGGGGTTTGGGAGGTGCATCCCCCTCTGGGGTTTGACAGGCTGTGTGTAGCCTCACGTGGCTGAAAAGGGATCCCTTACAACTACCTGAAAGGAGGTTGTAGCCAGGTGCGGGTCAGTCTCTTCTTCCAGGTAACAAGTGATAGGACAGGAGGAAATGGCCTCAAGTTGCTCCAGAGGAGGTTTAGATTAGAAAAATTTCTTTACTGAAAAGGTGGTCAGGCATCAGAACAGGCTGCCCAGAGCAGTGGTGGAGCCCTCATACCTGGAAGTGTTCAAAAACCATGTAGATGTGGTGCTTAGGGATGTGGTTTAGTGACAGACAGGTAGTGCTGTGGGTTAATGGTTGGACTCAATGATCTTAGAGGTCTTTTCCAAGCTTAATGTTTCTGTGAGTTTTCAAGGAGTTGGTGCTTTCTTGATGGCCTCTGGGCAGGAATGGTGGATGTGGCTCTGATTTGGGTTCCCAGTGCTGTGCTGCTGCCAGGAGCTGCCTGTCCCAGCTGCATCAGTGCCCTTGCCCAAGCCGTAGTTGTGTCCATGTTGCCTGGATGTACCCATGGCCATGGGACAGCAGAGTCTTGCTCCCTCCCACCCCACAGCCCTGCCAAGATCCCACTTGCATCCCGCCTCAAGCACTGGGCACTGGGATGGGTGAAGCTTTTAGCAGACACAGGAGCTGCCAGTTGCAGAGCACTCGGAGTGCTGCGAGTGAGCAGCGCGCTCGGCAGCCGCCCTCATGAATATTTTAGCTCGGAGAATTAACATTTGTCGAGACGAATTTATGGAGGCAGCGTGGATGTGTGGATGTCTCTTCCCCAGGCACCACAGGCTTGCTGCTGCTCCAAGGCAGCGCTGGGAGCCAAGACAGAGCCAGCCAGAGCATGAGCCCGTCACGGCGGAGTGGGACAGCAGAGCCATGATCTCCCCCCGGGACAGCCAGGCCCCGGTGCCAAGGCAACCATCCTGCCATGCGGGATAGACAAATGGTTGTGGTGTTTTGTTTTTTTTTCTCTTCCCCTCCTGGTTCTTGGCAGAAAGTAAAATGTCCCTTTTGTTTGGTTTCCTCCTCCCCCTGCCCCATCGCCTCCCTTTAAAGGTTGTGTTCCAGATTTTGTCAACCCACGTTGTGTAATAACCCCGGAGAATGGTGTGGGCATTGGCCGTGTCCCACTGAGGCCGTGGCAGAGCCAGTCCTTGGGAGCCTGACTGTGGGGTTACCTGCTCCAAAACATCCTGTGTACAGCTGCTGAGCAAAACTGCCTTGTATTTTGTACTGAGCTCCCATGATCCATGTGTTAGAAATGACGGGGAAGGTACTTGGAGAAAATTCTGAGTTTTTTGAATCTAAATAATCCTATTTTTCTACCTGAGTCCTGCAAAACCATATGGAAATTAGGGACTTTCAGATAAACCCTGTTAACTTTCAGCAGCAGCCATTGCACCTGGGAGTTCATCACCCATGGAGCACCCAGCACTGTGCAGGAGGATGCAGTAATGCCCTGCTTGGGATTTCTTGCTTTGGGCTTCTAAGAGGTCCCTGTTCTTTCTTTCCCTCGGTTCTAGTGCCCAAAGAGGAGACTGCTGCAGTTTCTGGGCTCTGCATCCTGCAAGCATCCATCCAAAGGTCCCTGCATCTCATCTGGAGGCTGCTAGGATTGTTGATGTGGAGAGCATGGCGTGACTCACGTCCTGAGCACCCCGGGGAGGGAGAGGAGGAGGAGGAGAATGTACTATAGGCTTTGTGTGTTGTGGAGAGGGATGCTGAGAGCACGTGTGTGCGTGTGTCAATAGGGATCTGTCATTCTGAAGGGAAACAGCAATGCAATTGTTTCTTGGCTCCAGTTGCTCTGCTGGTACTGGCAGCATGGAGAGCTGTAGCTGCTCATGTGGTGCAAGTGCTCCCTTCCTGGTGCTAACGAGGGGCAGGTCCATTGACTGGACTGGAGGTGGCTCATGGCACTGAGGAGAGCTGGTAATGGTGCCCATAATGGGTATCCTCTGTGCTTCCAGAGGTGCACTCTGCTGTGTTTCCACTCCTAACCCCAGTTAAATGACACACCCAGGCACCAGGTCCAGTTCTGGAGTAGCTGTGTGCTCCATCCCATTGGCAGCAGCATGGGAAATGGCAGAGGCAAGGCCTCAGCGCCTTGGGGACGGGGCTGTCCCTGAGCTGGGGACCGGCAGCAGCTGGAGCAGGAGCTGAATCTGAGCATCCACTCCTCACCTGGACACGAAGCCACCCCGGGCTCTGACGCTGGGTTCAGCCTTGTATCAAAGCATCTGCTCTTCAGAGGGCTGGTTGAAGTCCCAGCCTTGTTGTTGTTGTGGCGTCTCTGCCATACAGCACCTCCCTGCTTCTGCATTGATTTATTCCCTTACAATTGCGGGAGCCACGCAGTCCTCACCTGGCCTTGGACTAGCCTAGGGACCAGCTCTGCTTCCCTTCCCCAGGGATCCCCAGCCTTGAGAAACCCCCCAGCCTAGAATGGGGTGGTCAGAGGTGGGGATGGGGTCTGAGCCACCTCCTTCTCCTCGGTGGAGTTTGCGTGTGTGCACACACGCGTTTCCACCCGGCTCCATTTGCATTTCACTTCAAAGTGCCTGTGTTGCCTCCAAGGAAGGAAATAAATGGTGTAAAGGAATTTACATCCCGAGCGAGCAAGGCTGCTGGTCCATCAGGTTTCATCTGCTCCTGACAGGTGTGGAGGTTCAGGGAGGCTGCTGTGGGATGTCAGGTTCATCCCTGGTGCTGCAGGTGCCAGAGGGTCAGTCCTAGCTTTGCTCTCAGCCCTTTCCTGGCATCCTGGCTCAGAGGTGTGGTGGTGGACAAGAACTCATGTGTCAGGCTGTGCAAGATGCCAACGTTCACCCTCACAAGGAGGGGTGAGTGGCAAAACCACTTTGCAGGGCCAGCCCGGCAGTGGGGGGGGCCCAAACCGGCTCCTCCGCTCCTGGCACGCTTCGGTCAGGGCGGGGTGTGAGCTCCAAGGGAAGCCGCCCTGAATGCTGCCGTGGGGTTAAAGAGGGAGGAGAGCAGGCGAATTTTGTCTCTTCCTCTCCTCCTGTGCCAGCTCCCTGCCAAATCCCTGTGGGGCCTTACAGGGAGTCAAGGGGTGCCTGTGGCAAGAGGGACTAAGTGGCCCAGGGCATCCCCGAGGGACTAGGGCTCCCTCTCTCCTCCTCGTCCCCTTTTCCCCCTATCCTGGTTGCATTCCCTTGTGCAAAACTACTCTGGGTGGGGAAGGAGGTTGGACCTGGACCTTACAGTCCTGGAGGCCTTGGCTGTGCCAAAGGCCAGCAAGACAAAAACGGTTCTAAGACTCCACTTGGAACAGGAGAAAGTTTTTCCGTTGGGTTTTTATAGCTCCCGGAAAGCGGGGTTTTATTTTTGTTGTCTAAGACAAAAAATCCTCTTAGGAGCTAAGTACCCGCGGCGGTGCAGGGCGGGAGGCTGTGCATGCGCCAGGCCGGGGGTCTGGGCTCCGTCCCTGGGGTCTGAGCATGCTGATTTCCACAAAGGAAAAGAGGAGGTTTTGTTGTTCCTGATGTGCAATTGGTCCCGTTTGCGTACACATTCGCTGCAGCACCCGTGATGGCTCCATGCCACCCCTGAGCTGTCAGAGGATGCTCCCACCCAGGGACACAGCTGCAGGAAAAGCCCTTTTCCTGGGGAAAGGGTTTTTTTCCCACTGCCCGCAGGAGGAGTAAACTGGGGGCTTTGTGGGGCTGATCTAAATTTCCTGGGGTTGTAGGCTGGGGCCATTGAGCTCTCCTCAGTCGCCCTTTCTTTGCATGGCGCAGGCTGCTCTTGGAGGGGTTTTGCTGGCAGGGGAGCTTGTTTCCATGGTAAAAACCTTAACAGCATCTGCCAAAAATCTGTCTCCTTGTTGGCCCGGCCATCTGGAGGGCACAAGGAGGCTTTGACAGGGTGACAAGGTGGCCACGGGCTGCTTTGGGTCCTCCTTCGGTGTCATTGGCAGCTTGGAGGGGTCCCTCCCTCAGTCATTTATGCCCCAGGTGCAGGTTTGCTCTGGGATGCTGTAGGGACCCCAGTGTCACCCAGCCTGGTGGGGACAGGCAGGCTGTGGATGGGGGAGCCTTGGCATCCGTGCTCAGGGAGGGAGGGCTGCGGGCGCCATGCACCAGGAGCGGGTGGCCACGTTGTAATCGGATGAGCCAGCACTGCTCCAGATGGACCTGTCAGCTCTTGTCAGTGCTGACACCCCTCTGGGTGTCCCTCTACATCCCCTCAGGCCACAAGGGCCACCGCCTGTCCCACTTTACTGGGTCTCTTTGGAGCAAGGGGGCCTAGAGGTGACACTGTGTTCACAAAACCCACCGGACAAATAAGGTGCCATCCATGCTGTGGTCCTTCCCTGGCAAAATCCATGGGTTTTTTAATTTTAATGGGAAAAACCTGGCATGTGTGTCTGTCTGTCTGTCCCTGAGCCATCCTGTGGTGAGGACAGTGGGACCTTGCTACTTTGCCACCCCTGTCCCCAGGTGCCACCCCACCACCCCAGATTCAGAGCTGCAGACCCAAAGCCGGACACTTGGTGCCTTTCCTTGGGATCCCTGTACTGCAGCAGGGGATGCCCTGGATATTGGGCATAGGAGAAGTGTCTTGCTGGCAGCAGTGGACCAGACTGGGCTGGCAGGACTTGTACCTGCCCAGATGTGTGGCACAGGGCTTTGCTGTGTGCTGGCACAGCATACAGATGGGTCTGGGAACTTGTGATCAAAGCATCTTGATGTGTACGATCCTGGTGTCCACCAGGAGAGGTTTTAGGGCTCAACTCTGCACTCTTCTGTTCTTCTCTCCTTAAACAATACCCGTTTCTCCTTCCCCTTGCAGCCGACAACCCTCCCGCAGGGCACCATCAACATGAACCAGTGCACGGATGTGGTGGATGGGGAGAGCCGGACAGGGCAGAAGTTCTCCTTGTGCATCCTGACACCAGAGAAGGAGCACTTCATCCGGGCTGAGAACAAGGAGATCATCAGTGGGTGAGTGCAGATCCAGGGCTGAGCCACTGCCGTGCTCTTGCATGAGCTGGGAGGAAGAGGAGGGTGAGTAGGACCTTTCCCAAGGCTGGGTGCTGTGGCAGTGCATACCCAGGCTGATCCTGGGTGCTGGGGATCCCGATGGGTGCTGGGGTTACCCCATGGTGCTTTTAGCCTCGTCCATCCCTAGGCAGACACGGAATCCTGGGGTGGATGCAGCCCACCCCCGTGGTCCCAGGGGAGCATCTGACCTGCAAGGATGATTAAAGTATCATTGCTCACAGGAGTGCCTGCTGCTGAGCTGCAGGGACTCAGAAACACTGACGATTAGGCCACTAAAACAAGCAAATCAGGGTAGATTTCCCAACTCCAGGTGTTGGGTGGTGACCTAGAAACATCCTCTTCCATCACTCACATGCTGTCTCGGGTTGAAGCTGGAGCTGGTGAGGGTGCAGAGCCGTGGGAGAGCAGAGCTGCTGGCATAGAGCTGGACTGTGGCGGGGCTGCTGCTCACCTGCGAGCGTTCCCCAGGTGGGGTTCCTGGAGCTCAGTGCCTCCCTCCCAAAATTTGTTGACATTTGAAACTCGAGCAGGAAGTTGAAGGGATGAAGCACTCACTCTTTCCCCCTCTTCCTGAGTCACGGCGTCTCCCACCTCCCCCAGCCCTGGCAGCAGCAGAGTCACCACTTTCAGCTGAGATTTCTATTTCCAAACATTTTCTTTGGTTGCGACTCCCCCCGTTTTGGTAAACGCTTGACAGAATACGACATTTTTCTACCAAGAGCTTGAGATTTTGATTAGATACATGCTATCTTTTGTTGAAACCTCCCTGCTCTACTGTGACACATGAGCATGGGTCATTCCCTTTCTGTGAACCACTTTGGGCTGGCAGACCTGTCCCCCCCGACCCCGTTCACAGCAGTGGGGTTGCAGCGGCTGCAGAGCCGGGATGCAGAGGCACAGGGGAATCACAGCACAGGGGAGCCAGTTCCGCGCCTCCAGCCAAGGCAGGAGCAGTCACTACACCCCAAACCATGGCCAGCCCCCATGCCCTGCTCTCTCCTCTCTCTCCCCACGCTCCGGTTCACAGCTCAGCCTTTGTTGCTGGTCCTGCCTGCCGCGGGAGGGAGAGGCATTGCAGAGCGAGGTGGGGCTGATTTATTGCTCATCGGCCCAGCGATGGGTTTTGAAGCAGCGCGTTTGCTCCTGACTGCAGGCATTAATCATCCCAGAGCAGTCCCACTCTGGGGCTGAGCCAGGCGGGTTTCGTTTTCAGTTGCAGCACGACAGGAAGATTTCCCTGGCTGGGGGAGAATTTGTTCTGCGTTCGTTCCATCCTGCTGGCATTTATTGCTTAACCAAACCCCACTTGATGTGGTCATCTCCAAGTGCTTTACAGCAGCAGCGTGCAAAATGGGGGGAACAGGAGGGAGAAGGAGGGACATGTGAAGCAGGAGTGTTTCCCAGCGGTCCTCAGATACCTGTGGAGTTGGCAGAGATGCTGAGCAGGTCGTCAGGCTGCAGTGGCAGGGCGCAGGAGGGTCCCCCCCAAGTGACTTGTGCAGGGGATGGACTCCACAATGCCAAGTTCACGCTGTTCTTCCTTGGACAAAAGCACTTTGTGTGCAGTGTGCGGGTGTTGGCATTGCTGAAGGGGGAAGGTCCTGCTGGAGGCTCTGTCCCTCTCTGCTGTCTTTCAGGATCCTTGAATCTCTGCCCCATGTCAGCCTTGGCTGTGGCCTCGCTCTTGCAGTGAGTGGGGTTTGAGCCAAAGCACCCTGAGGTCATCGCTCTGCCCCTCCTCTCCTGGCTTTTTTTGTCCTCAGGAGCTGGTTGCTATGATTTCTGGTACTGTTCACCACACTGACCCTGACCAGGTCAATGTCACTCCCATCCCTACGTGCTCTCCCACAGCACAGACCTCACCTTCTGCTTTCTCTGCCCGCAGGTGGCTGGAGATGCTGATCGTCTATCCCAGGACAAACAAGCAGAATCAGAAGAAGAAGAGGAAGGTAGAGCCCCCAACTCCCCAGGTAACCCCAGGGAGACACACACATTGCCACCCAGACCCTTGCCTCCCTCTCAGGGCCACAGCCCTTGCTTTTTTCGTGGGGGAGGTCCCCTCTAACCCTCCGGATCAACTTTCTGCCAGCCTTCTGATGCTGCCTGTGCAGAGAGTGAGAGCTGGGGCGAGCCAGGACAGCAGATCAGTGTGAATTAATTCCTGATCATCACTTCTAGGGTCACACACTGCTTTCCTGGCTGCTTTGTGGCCACGTTTCACCTCTCGGGTGCTGTTTTGTGGTGCTGGCCCTCCCCACACTGTCTCGAGAGTGGCCACAAAGCCATGTGGTCCCTGTGGAGGACCAGGGAGAGGTGCTGTTCGTGGGCCATTTCAGCAGAAACAGGATGAAATTCCATCGGGCTCCAGTTACCCCCTTTGAGATGACCCCAGAGATAGTGGGAATGAAAGGAAAATACTAAAGGCCAGGGCCAGGCTGGGAGCTCCGGGGCCGGAGCCGGGCTCTCCAGGGACCCAGCAGTGGCTTCGTGCTTGCTTTGACTATAAATGGTAAAAAGTGGGGCTGACTGTGACTCACTCGTTCCTGCTGGGCTCCCACGTGGCCAGAGTGGGGGAGAATCCCACAGATGGGGAACGTGACCCCGAGGCCACCCTCGTCCCTCGCCGGGGCTGAGAACAGTCGTGTCCCTGAGGCCGCCTGACCTCTGGGCGTGCGTCCCGCCGTCATGGGGGACCGGCTGGGAGGGCTCCTCCAGCCGAGCCGGGTTGCACACCAGGGACCAAAACTGGGACTGGGGCTCCCCTGAGCCCTGGTTTTCAGGTCCCTGTTGATGGAAGTTCCCAGGATGGTCCTGGTGCAAACTGGGCCCATGGATGGGTTTTGTACGGCACGTCTCTGAGTAAGTTTCCACCATGCCGCTGGATAAAGATGTTCTGGGCAACGGGAAAAAAAAATTAGGGGGAACATGATCCTTTTTTGCACACCAGGCTGGAAGTCTGAGTCACCTCCTGCCAAGGGCTGGGGTCCTTACAGCCCCTCCAACCCCTCGAGTGCTTACTCTGGTGATGCTTCGGGGAAGATGCCTCTTCTGTCCATGACCAAGAGCTGATGTGTTACGAGTTGTCCGTCCTCAATCCCCAGAGAGAGGGCTGGTGCATTTGGGGCACGCCAGTGAGCGGATGCAGCAGGGCAGGGATGCTCACCCCATCCTGACACAACACTAAACCCAGGCTGGGTTCAGGAGGGGGACGGGGTGGAGAGAAGAAGGGGCGCAGAGCCAGAAAAACATCATTCTGGGTTACATTTCATCACCATGGCAACTTCTTGGAAACCGTACAGGATCTGAGCTCCTGAGCACCAAATAAGGGAAGTGGCTGCGGGAACGATGCTGGCTCCCCACAGACAGTCGGGCTCCCCAGGTGCTTGGGGATGGGGCAAGCATGGACCCTCATGGCACATTGCCCCTCCTGTCTTGGGGCAGGCCACCCCAAGCCTCATTCTGCTTGCTACCCTCCTTCCACCCTCACCATCCTGTCACTCCCAGTCCCGTGGTGCTGGAAAAAGGCCCAAATTCACTTTGCAAAGCCAGCCTCCATGTGGGACCTGCTGCCGGACGGATGCTGCGCTGTGTCGGACACTCACAAGCCACCTGCGAAAGCAGAAGCAGCATCTTTGCTGTTGTCTCCTGAATCCAGGCAGCTGCTCCAGGGAAGGAGAGAAGATGCTGAGGAGAAAATTAGCACCAAATCCCGCTCTGTGAAATGGCTTCTCCTCAAGTTGGCTGCTGTTCAGCTCGCTCTCCGTGTGCTGGTGGAGAAAGGCTGATCTCTTTCTAAAGATGGCCACACGCTAATCTGGCAGCAGGTCATGTCTTAGATCTGCTCAGGGAGGGATGGACACCTTTGTGATTTAAAAAAAAGAATTTAAACAATGGATATTCCTGCTATTTCTAGCTCTCCCATAGTTTTTCTCTGTCTGTGGTAGAGCAGAGCTTGGTTGCAGCCGGGAGCTCCTGGGGCATCAGGGCCACTTCCAGCTCCCCCCATCATTTTTTTTATCATCCCTCTGCAAAATCACCAGGATGGGAGCAATGCAGGGAATATCAGTTTTTGGACAGGGAGAGTTGTGTGTTTTCGCTTTGCTTTGCAAGCAGGTTGCAGTTTTAGGAGAAAAAGGGCAGGTTTTGCTGTGCTCCAGTGGAAAGGTGCAGGCAACAGGAGAGACTGGACTGCCTGTGCCTGCCTGCTGCCTGTGGGAACTTGAGGCAGGGTTTGGGGCTGAAATCTGGGATTTGAGGCGCTGCCCTCTGTTTGCACAGGGGTGTGGCAGGCTCAGGTAAGGAGAGCATGCCCAGACACACTTCATGCAGCTGGAGGCTGGTTCTGCTGATTTTGGTGCATGCTGCTGTTTGGAGATGTTCATACCCCTGAGCAGCAAAGAGTTAATGTCTCTGCTCCCTTACAGACTTCTTTTTGGCCCACATCTCAGCCTAATTAAATACATATCTACAAATAATTACACGGGGGTGTGTGTAAGGGATATATAAAAATATCCTGAGTTGGTGATTAGCTTCGGGCTTGGATCGATGAATGAGTGGTTGAGGGTGGAGGGGACCTTGGAGATTGGCCCGACCCCCTGCTCCAGCAGCGTCCTCTTCAGTGGGATGCTTGTGAACTCTGGATCGTTTACCTCCAACACTGCATTCCTTCGGTGTGAAATTTCCAAGGGGATTTTTTTAAAAATTGAGGTCATTTGCTGCTTGTTGTGGCTGTGCACAGAGCCAGGACCCACTCCCTGGGAGATCCCCGGTGGCACTGGCACAGCCCTGCAAATGCTGATTTGGAGATGCAGGACTAAAACCCACCTGATGTGGGAGCAGGGGATGGAGAGGATGCTCCTTGCAGCCACTGTCCCCAGCCTGTGGCTGCAGCCTCAGGCACTCCTGGATTCTCCCTACTCCATGGAAAAGGAACAAGCAGCTGGAAAACTTCCCACAATCCAGAGACTTTGGAGGGGAGTTAATTGTCATTGATTTATTGGTGGCTTTAAGGAAAATAATCTTCGAATGCTGAAGCTTAATAGGACAACAGCAAAACATCTGGTAATGAACAAAGCTGAGGAATGAGTTGGGAAAGCTGCTGCCTCTTCTGGGTCACACTCTGAACCTGGGCTGGCCTGGCTGTGGCCACCAAAGTGGCATCATCCATCATCTCATGGAATCTGGAGCTCCTTGCTGGCAAGAGAAGCATTTGAGATGATGAGGATTGTTTTAAAACAGCATGAAGCTGTGACACGTGGCTGAGCAGCCCTGTCCCATCCCTGTCGTGCTGTGATATGTCATGGGCAGCACCCAAACCGTCTGGGACCTCAGGGCCAAGCCTTTGGGGACTCTTGAGTGTGGAGCTGGGGCAAACTCTAACCCTGCTGTGTCCCTTGTTCTTTCTAGGAGCCTGGTCCTGCTAAGATGGCTGTGACCAGCAGCAACATCCCCAGTGCAGAGAAGGTCCCTGCCACCAAGTCCACGCTCTGGCAGGAAGAAATGAGGGGCAAAGACCAAGTGGATGGGGGCAGCGGCATCAGCCCGGCACAGAGCCCCGTGCAAGGCCAGGCCGGGGCTGCCAGCTCCCTGAAGGATCCTGTGCTGGACAGCAAGGAAGGTGAGGGGCAAAGGTGCCAGCACTGATGTGATGCTGTGGTGGCCTGGTTCAGGCAGCTGAGCTGGCAGAAAACCACTATAGAGGGAGAAGTTTTCCCTGGGTTTGGTTCCTGGAGCATTCCAGCAAGGAGAGAGAGGCAGACCTCGTCCCTGCTGTGTGGGGACTAGTGTCAGGCATTACAAGCTGGAGTTCAGGAAGGAAAAAGTTGGCATTTCATGCTGGAAAATCACAGTGTGGGGCCCAATCACGCCCTGGCAGGGAGATGGGGCTGCCTACCCTCACACTGGGAGCAAAATGCCTTTTCTAGCCCTTCCACATCCCCACTTGGGCACCCAGAGGGTGCAGGACCATGTCATGCTCAGCCCAGCCGTCCAGGCTGCCAAGCACTGAGCTCTGCTTCCTCCTCCAGCCCTGTTTACATTTGATTTCCATGATGATTCCCTGGAAGATGCTGGATCCATGGCATTGTTCTCCCTGAAACAGTGGGGTTGGGTGCTCTTCCTGCCAGGCCATGGACAGGTCCCAGTGCTGGGGCCCTTTCAGGTGGGGAATGCTGCCCAGTCAGATGGGGAATGCTTTCCACCCACTCCCACTTGCCAGGAGTGAGATGTCCATTGCCTTGCACCCATAGAACTGTGGTTAATGCTGGGCTGGGGAGGACAGAGATGGAAGTGGGTGCAGAGCAGTGGCTGCAGCCACCCAGTTCTTGGTTTGAAGGTGTTTCACCTGTGCAAGCCCAACCCAAGAGTTGGACCAGCATCCTCAGTTCCCTGCAGACCATCCCACTGTCTCTGTGGGCATGAGGGAGAAAAGCCAAGGGTGCAAGAGATGGCACAGGACTGGGGCCAAGGCTCTGCTCTCATTTCCAGCCCTTGTCCTGGGTAGAATTGGGGTGTTTTTTGTTAAAAACAGAACTCAGACTTGAAACCAAGCACGATGACTCCTCTGTCCCTTAGACGAGAGCTCCATGAACGGAGACCGGATAGACTGCGGGCGGAAGACGCGTGTCGAGAGCGGGTACTTTTCCTTGGAGAAGACCAAACAAGACTCGAAGCTGGAAGAGCAGCAACTGCCGCCCCCGCCGAGCCCGCCCAGCCCCAGCACCCCGAACAACAGGTACAGTTATCCCAAATCGCCCTCACAGGAGCATGCCCAGCCCTTTCCTTCCCCAGGTACCCGATCAGGCGACCGAATGGTTCACAGCTCCTCTCTGAACTCCTTGGACTCGAAGAGCAGTTGCTCCAAGCACAAGGACTCCAGCAACAGAGATGTAGGAAGGGGAGCTGAAAAATCGGGGCGTCCCCTTTCTTTTAAAGCCAGCCGGCAGTACACCACCCTGGCCGACGTTCCCAAGGCCATTAGGATCAGTAATCGTGAGGCCTTCCAGGTGGAGAGGAAGCGGCTAGAGCGGAGAACCCGGGCTCGTAGCCCTGGGAGAGAAGAAGTGGCCCGGCTCTTTGGGAATGAGAGAAGGTAAGGGATGAGTGGCTCATCTCCTGCTTGCATGCTTACAGCAGCACCAGGGTTGCGTCCTGGCCACAGCCTGGATGGATCAGGTGGAATTTGCCAGGTGAAGCCCCTTTGTATTCCAGTGCTCCTGTGTTCAAGGATGCCCATCCACACCAGCCAGGTGGTGGGATGTCTTTAGTAGTGCCAGCGGGCGGGTGTCACCCTACCTGGCTGCTCTGGGGACAGCTGGCTGAGGTGGCTGATCACAGAGTCACAGAATGGTTTGGGTTGAAAGGGACCTTAAAGCTCATCTTGTTCCACCCCCTTGCCACAGGCAGGGACACCTTCCAGGCTGCTCCAAGCTCCATCCAACCTGGCTTTGGACACTTCCAAAGGGATGGGGCAGCCACAACTTTGGGCAACTTGTGCCAGGGCCTCCCAACCCTCACAGGGAAGGATTTCTTCCTAATATCCAATCTAAAGCTACCCTGATGTTCAGTGGTGTTGGGTGCCCCTATTTGCCATGCAGCCCACCCTCCCAGCCCGCAGCGTGGCACACGCTGGCAGCCAGCACCATTAATTAGGTGAGTTCTCTAAATGGTGTTAGTGCCAGGTGTGTTACGCAACTGCCTAATGAGCTGAGAGAGGTTTCAAAATGTCACGGCATTAATCTGGGAGAGGAGGGAGAGGCGGGTGCAGCGCCAAGGCAGGGCTGCAAAACAGCTCAGTGTGGAGGAGGACGGGGAGGGCGTCCGCGTGCGCCGGCGTGCCGGGTGCTCTCCGGGAGAGGCCAAGGACGGGCTCCACTTGCCCTGGGAGAGACACATTTGTGCAGTGAGGGCAGTGGAGCACACTGGGAGACAGGCCCCGGGTGAGAGGGCCGCCTGCCAGTCTGATTTTCCCGCCCTGGTTTTCCTCCGGGCATGTTCTCTCTCGCACGGTTTCAGCAGGAGCTTCTCCTCTGTTTCTTCCCAGCCCCTAAAGGACTGTTTTCCAGCCTGGCTTCTGAGAGCTGGGAGCAGATCTGGGATGTACAGCACAGCTTTGTGCTGGTGCTGCCAGTCAGCAGGAGGATCCCAGACCTGGCCCAGAGCATGCAAAGAGAGTGCTGGACTGGGAATAAATGAGGAGAGCTCAGGTTTGGCTTTCTCTGCCGTGGGAATTGGCCTTTCCCCAGGATTGAGGAGGAGGATGCCACACTAGTCCCTTGGCCACCCTGGCTGGGGACAGGGCTGAAAAAAGGCTGGTGGCTGCTGGTTTGCAAACTGAGCTGATGCTGCCTGTGGGTGACATCCTGTCCCTGCTGGGTTTGCTTGCACAGGATGCCCTGGCCAGTGCCTGTCCCCAGTGTGACAGGACAGTGCATTCCTCCAGTGCCAACAGTCCCTTGCTGCAGCTCTGGAGTATCATGCAACACTGGGATCATCCTGCATGGAGCTGGGGAGCAGATTTACAGCAGATAGCAGGGCCCAGGAGAGGACATTGCTGCCAGAGACTGTCCTTTTTTAATGTCAGCTCCACTCATTGCCTGCTGGCAAGTGCCTTTTCCCAGGGAAAGTCTGCTTTTCCCAGCCCAGCTGGGGCTTTATCAGTATTGGCAGGAATTTCCCTGTGTCAGCCCAGAGCCTTTATCAGAGCAGGACGGGTGTAGGGAGAGGAGCAGGCACTGCACCAGGCACTGGAGGCTTGCTGCCCATGGGGCTGAGCCCAGTCCAGCATTTGGGAGGGGGTGATGGCAGAGGGGGGTGATGGCAGAGTAGGGTGAGGGGTCCCCATCTGCGGGAGGGATTGCAGCCTGCGGTGCTGAAGGAGTGTGCTGTGAACAGGGACGGTTCAGTGGGTGTTTAGGGATGGGCACATTTGTTTTCTCCCCCAGTAACCTGGGAATTGGCCCGTGCAGGTGGTGTGGGTGCAGAGGTCCTGTGTTCCAGAGCTGGGACACCCGTGTTGGAGCTCTCAGGTGGACTCAACAGGGCACAGAGACACGGTCCAGCGTCGCACCAAAGAATTAACATTCCCCAGCACCCTGCTCAGCTTGGCTTGGCTGCTTTTTAAACTTGAGTTTACTTAGTCCCCATATCCCTCTCATTTTTCTCCTCTGAGCTCAGACTGTGCTGTTTGAGGTTGAGCAGATACAATAACTCACTTCCATGCTGTGGGGTCGGCTTTTTCCCCCTGGTTTAACACCATTTCTAATAATCCTTCTCAGTAACCCACTAACATGTCAGGGGACACTTGCCTAAAATCATGTGCCCCATGCCAACCCCAAAAGCACCAGTCAGGCATTGTTCAGATCTGCTTTTCAGTGCAGCCAAACAAACTCACTCTGATTCTGTTGGTATTTTCAGCTCTTCCTCCCATTTTTTTGTGTAAATCAGTGCAAGTGTCAGAGCTATGGATGGAAAAGAATTATTTTAGGTACCCAGTGCTGCATCCTGAGTGACACACCTTAGGCTTAGCTCCAGCTAAAGCCATTTGTCAAGGCTTTTCCTCCTGCTTCCTTATCGTGACAGTTATTACGTGACTTAAGTCCGGGAATTTTCCGTGTTGACCATTTATACCTGACTCTGCCTCCACGCCCCATGCAGACGTCTGAGCTCGCAGCCACTCAGAACCAGGAATCAGAAAACAGGAGATAATCTCCCTGATTTTGGCAGAGCGGCAGAGTGCGAGTTCCCTCTGCTGGCACGTGGCAGGATGGGGCTGTGGCACCCACCGGGATGTCCCACCGGGCTGGGGGAGAGGGACTGTGGCCAGAGAGGTCGAGCCATCCCCAGTCTCCCATCTCAGAGCCATCCCTAGGGCAGAAGAGCAGGGGCAGCTCTTTGGAAACCCCCTGGGTGAATCTTGAAGTTTTGCACACAAAATCACAGCTGAAGTGAGCTGCAGGGATGTCCTTGGACATCAGTCCCCATATCCCAGTGGGGCTCTGCAGCTGCGGGGATAAATCCTGGCACATCTCAGAGGAGGGTGCCAGCAGTTTTGGGAAAGAGACCACCATTGGATGGGGAGTCCCTGGGGTGCAGAGATCCAGAGCCCCTTCTTCTGGGTGTGCAGCTGCAGGCTCACCCTCCTTCTGCAGCTCCCTGGGGAGCACCAGGATTTCTGTTTGGCAAGCTTGGCTTTTTTGCACAATTCCAGGGGTGCAGCCTCTAAATCCATGGCTTTCTCGGTTGACCCCATGTTCTTCTTAAACTGGCAGGAGTCCACTGTGGCATCTGCCAGACCTCCTGTAGCAGTGTGATCAGGGGCTGAGGTGTATTTCTAGCCTCAATAAAGAGCAGAACTGCCTGAAATCACTTAAGATACTTTTTTCCCCTCAAATTCCTTCTCTGGAGCTTCTTGAGATACAAAGCTCAGCTCTGAATTCTGCTTCTCCCCATACATAGGAGTGTCTGCTCTCCCAAATATAGGTTTTTTTTTCCTTGTAAAACTATTCTCTTCATACTTGTGGACCTCTTGGGAAAATTATCCTTTCTTTTCCTGACACTCACTATCTTTCTTGCTGCTAAATAATAAATGAATCCAATAAAAACAAACCCTTTTTTTCCAATCAAAGAAAATCACTTTAACGATAGCTCGTGCTGGTTTTTAGAGCTTCCCTTCCCACTGCACACCCCCCACACTAACAGCTGAGATCTGCAGCCCAGGTTTAGTGGCCTGGAAAAGATTAACAGCCTGCATGGCCGAGGAATTCCTTGGGATGAGCTTTTGTAGTTGAAAAGCACTAAATGGCACTGCAGCTTTTAAAATGCTTCTTCCTACCTGTCCCAGCCTCGTTTTGTCCACAAAGAGCTTCTGTGCAGAGGGAGCAGCTCTCTCTGACACGTTTTGGTGGGGAGGAGAGCCCTTCCCTCCCTGTTCCCTCAGGATCTCTGGCAATAACATCTCTGAAATGTTGATCTAATGGGAATAAGAAAGATTCTTTCCTGTAATCCGGATGATATTAACCCTTGGGGCTGTGATTTGGTTGCAGTGATTTATTTTTCTCCTCCCTTTTTCAATGACGAATGAACCGGAATGATTTTGATTTTGTTTTGTAGATACAGATATATAATTTCCTCTTCTGTTCATTCATTTTCCAGCCTTGTTTTCTTCCAGGTCTTGTTGCTCTCCACCTTCTCCTGCTGTGTTGCTGTGTGACGTGTCCACCTTTACTTCGCCTGCTTCGCTACCATCTCATCTCAATCTCAAGCCGTAGAACAACCTGGTGGTGCAGCCCCTTTCATGAGAAATCAACCTGCTTTTGATTTTGTTTTTATGGTTTTGTTTTTTTTTTTGGTTGGGTTTTTGTTCTTTATTTTTCTCCTGATTTGTTTTTTCTTCAGGCCTTCACTCAGTAGGGCACAGACAATGTTAATTCATGGATCTCTTATTTCCTCCTGAACTGAGACTCAGAGAAGGCTGGGCCAGTGTAAAAAGGGTTAAAAATTTGTGACTCCAAAACAATTCCCTGTCTGTCAGTGAATGGAGAACATGGATTTATGTTCCACAGCCTGGATTGTGTTGAACATCTCACAAGCAGAATATCCCAGGGAAACTGGGAGCTCTGCACAAGCCCAGGATCTGCCCACTCCCAGTTTGCAAACTGGGAGGTAGCAAGGGCTGAACAGATGTCCTGTAAAAGCATCAAAGATCTTTGAATTTACAAAGCAAAGTCTTTCCCACCAATTTTGTCCCTTCCTCTTTGGTTGTGTCCTGGCAGCCTTGGCTCTGAGCAGCAGTGGGGGGGCCCCAGCCTCCCAGGGGATGTGATATGCTCGGACTGTTCCTCTCATTTATTGAATTTGGTGCAAATGTTGGTTGAAAACTGAACGTTTCATGGTTTTTGAGCCTTTAACCTGCTGTTCCTTTTTGTGGGAAGTGTTAAAAATGGGGTTTTTTGGATAACCTGTTTCCCCTTATGTGGTTGCTGTTGTGATTTTCATGCATGTTAGAGGTTTACACAGAGGAAGCAGCACCAAGGTTAAATGTGGTACAAGTGGGTCCAAATTTTGTGTCAAGAAACCACCTGGATTGAGCTTTTTGGGGAGGTTTGAGATGGACCTTTAAACCTCACAGCTTGGAGCACAGCTGGCATTTGCTGGTGGTGGGTTGTTGCTTTACGTTCCCAGGTTGTGATTAAGGACCTGAGGTTGATTCTTGCCTGAACCCCTGGGAATGCAAACTCAGACACCAGCAGGTGCTTTGCAAATTCCAGGGCTTTCTCTCCTGTGGGTCAGTGAGCAGCTTTTCATGCTGAACCAGCACTTTTAATTCTACCTGCAAAGGCCTATTTGCTCATCCTTAGGAGCATCCCATTTGTTTTTATCCAGGGTTTGCTCCCGCTCCATCCACATTTCTTCGTAGTTCTCCATCCTCAGAGACACAAGTGCCACAGGTGTGATGGGCCACCAAGGCAGTGTCTGAGAGACCCAAGTTGTGCTCCCTGCTCTCCATATTTGATTTGCAGCCCAGTTTAGAGGAGGGAATGGCCCCAGGTTTTTCAGGGAGGAATGGCCCCAGGTTTTTCAGGGAATGCCCTGCCATGGCACAGGGTGCTCCTCATCTCATTCCTGTGAGCCACACCCATGATCTGGAGGCATCTATGGACAGCGTTCACTCCATGCAATCCTGTGGCTGTTCCCTGTGTGGGGCTGAGTTTTTAGAGGGTACCTATTGCAGTGAACACTCTGGGGAAACCTGACCCCCCTTTATTTCTGCACCCCAGCTTGGTCTGACATATCAGTGCTCTGTGGCCTGGGGGGCCATCGATAGCTGCAGTGCTAGAGGAGAGAGCCATGCTTAAGCCAAAGCTGCTCCACAGTCCCTGCTTCCCAAAGGGCTGTAAAATTCACAAGTAAAAAGTTACTGTTGGTTTTGGAAGGATTTTCTAGTTATTGAAGGTGCTACCTCTGGAGCTAAATAGTGTGAGAGGTTTTTCCCACTTTAGCCATGGGTGAAAGGATGTGTGTCAGGGGTTTTACCCTGGATTTGGGCACACTGGAGCCCGCAGAGGAACAGGGACCAAAGCCAGGTGTGCATGAACACTGGGTCAAGCAATTCTGCAGCCTTAAATTTGTGGGGTTGTACAGCTCCACGCAGTTGCTGCTCCTGTGTTTAAACTTTCTTTGGTTTCCCCTTTCTCTCTGTTTTCCAGGAGATCCCAGGTAATTGAAAAATTTGAGGCACTAGATATTGAGAACGCGGAGCACATGGAAACAAACGTGCCGGGAGGGGCTGCCCTTTCCAGCGAGACGCGGCAGGGCAGGAGCGAGAAGAGGGTTTTCCCACGGAAACGGGTGAGCTGCTCGGCTGAGGTCTCCTGGTGGGCTTTGGGGGATGGCACCTGGGATCCTGAAGCACAGGATAGAGCATTCAGCTCTAAGGTTTGTCCCTGGGTGTGGATCTGGAGTCTCAGGCAGCTCCTGCAGGAGCCACATGCTGTGTGTGCTCAGTCTTTGCAGGTTTGCCACTTGCTGCTCTGCTCCCTTGGCCCAGGTGTAGATCAGAGTGGAAAATCAGGCTGTCTTTTCTCCTTTCTCCAAAATATAAAGGGAAACTTCAGATCTGGCATGGCCAGGACACATCAGGATGGGGTGAAGTAACAAAAGAAACAGGCAGGTTTGAGAGTCCCAGATACGCTTGGATATATTGGGAACAAATTAATGCCTGAGAGGACAAAAAATTGTATTGCCAAAGAAATGACACTTGTTCTGAGGCTGCGATGCCCCTTAAATAAAGCAGATTTTTATGCCATGAGCCAAGAGAGCAGGACTCTGTCCTAGTTCCTGCACTGATCTGGGCTAATTCTGTTCACACAGGACTTCACTTGCGAAGGAGCGGCCGTGGGCTCCATCCTGGACGTGTCTGCATCTCCCCTGTCCCCACATCGCCGGGCAAAGTCACTGGACAGAAGGTCCACGGAGTCCTCTATGACGGTGAGCCAGGGGACCGTGTCCCCTGCCTTTTGGGAGGACATGAGAGGCCTTTCCCCAGCGGGTCCAGTGCAAACTGCACTGTCTGCTGCTTTCCTCACGGTCAGCACGTAGGACGTGGGTTATGCTCACATTTGGAGCAGGTTTCAGTGACCCAGGTCAGATGTGACCAATCCTGTGAGTCACAGGGGCTCAGCTGGAGAAGAGCCACACTTTTTGCCTGTTGCAGAAATTAAAAGACTGAGTCTTGCGAGGAGTACAGCAGGAGCTTGGGAAGCAGCCCCGTTTTGCTTGTTATTTTCCCCTGGAATACCCAATTTCCTCGATGCTTTGCTTGGTGTGTTAGACCCTGATGCTGTAGGTCACCCTGAAGGTGCTGGGCTCACCTTGCCTGGCCAGAGCCCCTTTTAGCCCTGTGCTGTCCCCCAGCAGAGGCTGCAGCAGGGTATTTCCAGCTCAGCAGAGGGTCAGTCCAGTTTCTGAACTTGGACCAGCCACTGGGTCATGACTGATGCATTTTCATAGAATCACAGAATCCTAGAATGTCTTGGGATGGAAGGCACCTTAAAGATCATCTCGTTCCAACTCCCCTGCCACGGGCAAAGACACCTTCCACTCAACCAGGCTCCTCAGAGAGTTTTCAGAGAGCTAACACATGTCCCAGTTTTCTAATGCCACTTCCTTGATGTTTATGCTGTTGGAAGTGGGTGTGAGTGGGATGAAGGCTGCAAGGAAGGGCTGAACCTGCCCTCCTGAGCTTTCCTCCCTTTGCATATTTCAAATGCTCACCAGGCCTGGAGGCAAACAGTACAGAACAAACACAAAATGCTCTCCTTTCCCTCACCACCCTTCTGCAGGGACAAAATAAATACACTTGCTAATCTCTCAGATAGATTACAGAGCTACTGTAAATACAAGTTGCATTTTTTGCGGACAGACAGCTTCTATTCAAGGACTTGTTAGAATAATGCAGTAGCAGACGTTTCTGGAGCTTTTTGGGTAGACTTGTACAGCCACAAGAGTGAGTTTTAAATTCTTGGTGGGAATAAAAAGGTGCAAGAAGTGCATATGAAGTGGCAGTGCACAGTATCTAGTGAAGGGAAGAAAATCATGCAGGTTTAGATTAGGTATTAGAAAGAAATTCTTCCCTGTGAGGGTGGTGAGGCCCTGGCACAGGTTGCCCAGAGAAGCTGTGGCTGCCCCATCCCTGGAAGTGTCCAGGGCCTGGTTGGATGGGGCTTGGAGCAACCTGGGCTAGTGGAAGGTGTCCCTGCCCATGGCAGGATGTTGGAACAAGATGATCTTTAAGGTCCCTTCCAACCCAAACCATTCCATGATTCTGTAATTCAGTGAATTACTTTCCTTTGTGTTTTTGTGGAGTGGGACTGGGTTCCCACCACCCTGGGATCGTTGACATGTGGGATGTGCTGCCCCACAGCACAGGTTTGATTGAATGGGCTTCCAGACCCCAATTTCCATTTCTCCCCTTGCTGTAGCCAGTTTCAGACACTGCAGCTGGATTTCACACACTGCTGTCCTTTTTCTTCCTCCTCTCTGCAGCACGTGGAGCAGCTGGAGGAGTTCAGCCTCGAGGGAGTGAAAGCATTTCCACCACATCCTTCCCTGTACACGGGCAGGGCTGGGAGGAGGGTCTGGCAGCAGTTATCCCACGCTGTCTTGGTTGCTTTTCTCAGGGATTTGACATCCCCATGTACCTACTTTGGAGGAAAGAGCAGGTGTTGTTTGGGTGGTGCAGGGCTCAGATTCCCTGTATTTCCAGCCTTGGGAACTCAGCCTGTTTTGAACCCTGCAGCCTTGCATCAACAGCACGTAGTTTTTCTTTCATAATATATAACAGAGGGACAAAACTGCCTGAAGTCTTGGTAATTCACTTTTCTCCTTCCTCTGTTATGCTGGTGGAGCAGTAGGGAATTGCAAGAGAAAATAGGTAGGATGAGAACAGCTGAGTATACCATGCAGCAGGTCTCTGCTCCTCCTGGGTGCAAACATTTAGCCACCACACGGTGTAATGGTGCAGTCTGGACTAGATAACCTTTAAAGGTCCTTTCCAACCCAAACTATTCTGATTAAATTCTGTGAATTTAACTGTTGCTGGTCTCTTTTATTGCTGCACTGTATTTTATCAAGTCACTTCTGTTGCCTTCTGGGTGCAGACACTTCTTCCCTCTCCTCTGATCCCTCTCTCCTTTCTTCCAGCCCGACCTACTGAACTTCAAGAAGGGCTGGTTGACAAAGCAGTATGAGGATGGGCAGGTGAGTCAGGGGGAAGCTCTGCCCTTTATATCCACTCACTTCAACATCCCGGCTGTGCCGGCGGCACGTGGGGCTGCTCTTGGCACTGACAGAGCCCTGATGTCCCTGCTGGGTAGATCAGCCTTGGAGCGAGAACTGCTGGTCCTCTGTCCTGGGGAGGTTTCAAAGCCCCACAGGTGGATATTGTATCGTGGGTTTCTAGGGAGCCAGGGCAGCTTGGATAGCAGTGCTGGTTTCATGTTCCTGTTTTCTATTTATCAGTCTCATCTCCCTTGCAACCCAGTGACCTCTTTGGTGTCAGTAATGAGGCTCAGGTGAAGTCTCCTGAGTACCAGGGAAATGACAAGGCCAATAAACAAATAAATAAATGAATCCCTCTAAGCTGGCACTGAGGGAAGCAGCTGATGCTGTTTTCCTGCTGTCTGTTCCCAAAGGGATGTGAGATGTGCTGCTCCCTCAGAGCCTTAGTCATGGGCACTGATGCCGAGGCAGCATGGATGGTCCTGGCTGTTTGCAAACTGCCCCTTCCCTGGATTTCCTTCCCTGGATTTCCTTCCCTCCTGCTCAGCTGCTGAGGGAAAATGAGGGCGACTTGCCCATGGCTGTGAGTGCCATGGCCTAGGCTTCGCTGTGGGTACTGGGGCCGAGGGCACATGTATAGGCAGCCAAGGGGGAACTGGCCACTGGATTGTGCTTTATTGACTGAAAGCTGCCTTAGGTGAGCCTGTGCCTGGCTGGGAGCATGCAGGAGGAGGATTTGTATAGAGTAAGGGCCAGGAATAGACTCCAACTCAGTTTCTAGGTACTGCAGATAAAACATGAATGTTTTACTGCTTTTCTTTTGTTGCTGTTAAAAAGGTTTTAAGTGCAGTCACTAAAAGCATCATCTTGCAGTGAAGCTGCTGGGAAGGCTCCGACTGCCCCTGTGGCTCTCACCATGTGTCACTGTCACACGCAGGGTTGGTGCTGCTGAGGGTGGAGCACCTGTAGTGTGGCAGCACCAGGGAATTCGGGGTCCTGGTGGTGCAAACCATCACTGTCTCTGGCCTTGCTGCCTGTTTGGGTCTCCCCTTCCTGCCAGGAGGGTCTCAGTGAAGCTGAGTGTGGAGCTGGGAGGGGAGAGGCGTTGAGCTGCTTCCCTGTGGGGCACCTCTGCCAGCGGACCTGTGACAAGAGCCACTGTGTTTCCGCTGGTGAGGAAAGGAGCAGGATTGTAACTGCCCCATTTTGGTTGTTTCCTAGTGGAAGAAGCACTGGTTTGTGCTGACTGACCAGAGCCTGAGATACTACCGGGATTCAGTGGCAGAGGAGGTAAGTGTCTTCCTGTTGGTGTTCAACCCATCACTGCACCCAGGGAAGCTCCCAGTTCTCCCAGACTGCCCCCTGGCAGGCTGCCTTCCCAAGGTCCTGGAGCATAGCTCTTCAGGGCTTTGTGCTTCTCAGGGACCTGCTGTGCCTCCCTGTGAGCCCACTGCACTTTGGGGCTGCAGAGCTCTGTGGCTTATTTGACCTCTTCCCTCTGCAGGCAGCTGACCTGGATGGAGAAATCGATTTATCCACGTGCTACGATGTCACTGAGTACCCAGTTCAGCGGAACTACGGCTTCCAGATCCACGTAAGGAAAATGTGGGGAGGAGGAAGAGTCCAGCTGCAGGACAGCTGATGGGGATGCTCGACCGTGACAAGGGAAACATGTTCCCAAACACCCAAGAAAGGCCACCCAGCAGCCCCCAGAGTGCTCCAGAGAGCTGTGGCCTTGGGTCTGAGAGCCGTTTTTTTGTCTGGGGGAAAGGGAAGGAGGAAAGGCAAAGATTTGTTTCAGCCTTAGGGTCTCAGCTGTGACAAAATTAGCCTGATTGTTGGGAAACACTAATTCCCACCAGGAGCATGCTGGGGGATGGAGGGGCTGGGTGCGACCTCTGTTTGGCCAGCAGTCAGTGGCCCAACACTGGGCTTGGGACTGGGTGCAGAACGGTTTTGGGATGGTGCTGATGGGTGCAGTCAGCTGCTCTGAGCTGTTCCTCCTCTGTCCCTAGACGAAGGAAGGGGAGTTCACCCTCTCTGCCATGACCTCGGGCATTCGCCGCAACTGGATCCAGACCATCATGAAGCACGTTCGCCCCACCACTGCTCCTGATGTAACAAGGTAAGGGGGGAGTGTAGCAGCCCCTGCAGTTGTGTGGTTTGCTGTGCAGGAGTAACTCTTCCCTCATCCCTTTTTTTTCCTGTTTCTGAGCCTGTCTGTTCCTGGAAGCTGCGGCTCTTTCTCACGTCCCTCTCTCTGGGCTTAATTTGGATACACTTTGTGGGGACGCTGATATGCTGAGTTATTCTTACACGTGCAGATTTCAAAGAGAGTTGAAAATGTGGCTTTAATTTGTGCATAGGAATATGAAACACTGTTTCTATATCAAGGCTCCTTTGGATTCTCACCAGGTATTGTGAAACCACTTGGATTCAGTTGTGTTGGGTTCCCCCTTTCCTCTGGCTACTGTTCAGCATGAGCTGCCCAACCCCTCCACGGGTCATGGCAGCAGGAGCCCAGGGTTCAATTTAGAAGCTGTTTGGCTCTGATCTATTTTAAACTCCAGCCAGCAAATCATCTCCCTTCCTCTTTTGATCTTCCAGAAGCTGCCGCAGCTCGTTCCCCTTACACGTTAGTAATGCTGTTGTCTCCTCCTGTGTCAGTGCCAGAGGAAGGGAGCCCCTGCATCACAGAGTACCTTCTGTGGGTGCTTGTGGCTGTGGGTACAGGGTGTTTGGTGTCCTCACAGCTGACCCTGCTGGCCACACTCATATGGGCCACCTCTTACAGGCTACCTGGACATGGCCACACCACTAACTCCATCTCCTGTCCTTACTGTAGCTACAGCGAGCAGGTTTTTGCCAGGTTTGTCCCCAGAGTTCATGGAATGGCTCTTCTCACTCAGTGCTGTTGACCTGGAGATGCTCCAGCCTCTCCTTCCCTATCCCACTTGGCACTCAGCCGCTGTTTCCCAGCCCTGCCCGAGCTCTGGTGGATCTCGCGGGGGTCTCGGGGAAGCCGCCTCTCTCCTCACTCCTGTGTATGTTTGATTTCCATGCAATCCCAGGAAAAACTTCTCTTTGAAACTATCCGTGCTGAAGCCCAGGTTGGAAAACTGTGTTCTCTCCTGTATTAACGTTCTGTGGTTTGTATATCTCGTGATTCACTGCATGCTCCTCCTTTTCTGCACCTCGGATGAGAAGTCCTGCAGTTTCCATTTATTTTTCTTTCTTTTCTTCCCCCCTTCCTTTTTTTTTCTTTTTTTTTTTCTTTAAATAAAAGCCAGAGAGAAGGGAAGAAGCAACCTGGTCTTGACACTTGATTTCCCCACACTGGTATCTTCCGATGTGACTAGATATGAAGATGAAGACCAAGGAAATTTGAGGGGACCTCTCTGCCTTTAAAGAGCCAGATGTATTTATGGTTGCTCACAGGTTACTGCAGCACGATAGTCCTGTGCTCACTGTCTGCACCTGCTCCGAGCCCACACAAAGTGGTTTCACTTGGCTTTCCCTCTTGAGAGGGTCCAAGCGCAGGTCCCGGCTGGGCAGTAACTTGTAACGCTGCACAAACAGACTGTGAATCCATCCTGAGCTGGGAAAAGGGAATTATGTGTGTGCTTCTGTCGTTTCCCACCGAGCTGGTTTTGGATGGGGTGGAGGCTGGCGTGGGTTAGTCACGTTGCTGAGAAGTCCTGTGCTGTGTGTGCAGCAGGGCTGTGTTCACCTGGTGTGGGGTATCCCAGCGTATCCCACCTGGCTTTGGGATGCCATTACATTCCGCACCCGGGGAGTGGCTTGTGAAGGGGGCTGCTGGAAAGCTGAAGGACAGACTGCCCAGGGCTCATGATGAAGGGTGGCAAACGTTGGCACAGTGTGGCCCGGGTCCAGGAGGGATGTTAGTCCGGGTGCTCAGCGTGCCGGGGGGGTGATGGAGTTCACCCCGTCCCCAGGGCCTGTCCCATCCTGCACGCTCCTGCAGACCTTTGCCCTATCTCATTAACCTGCTGCCATGTCTCCACCGAGCCAAACACACCTTTTCTTGGTTTCTCAAGTCCTAATGACTGTTTATATTGCTGTGTGTGTCAGCACCCAGCATGGGGAGCAGATGCTGTGCTGCTGCCTGCCCTCAGCAGTGCCCAGCTGTCTGCAGAGACACTCATTACACTCTGCTAACGATGACAGGGCAAATAGAAAATACCCCCAAGAAAGCAGTGGATCCATATTTTGCTCACAGCCCTGGTGAGGCTGAGTTCCCCAGTGCTTCCCCAGTTCCCTGCAGCCTTCATGAGCTTCTTGCCACAGTGTGCTCAGCTCGCAGCTTGCACTGCTCCCACACCTACCCCTATTAAAAAAAACCCTTTTTATTTTGACCTATGAATAACATTTGGAGGCAAAGACCCCCTCCCTCCCATGCGATGTGAATTAGTTTGTCTGGGATGGAGGAGATGTGAAGTGTTTGAGCAGAATTCATAGCCATGGGGCACTTGCAGGAGATGAAATGGGAAACTTTGGGTCAATCTCCTGAGTCTCTTCACTCCGTTCCCAGCAGCTGTCCCTCCACTCCCTGACACATCCCATGCCCTTTGGAAAGCAGCAGAGGAGAAATGAGCTTGTGAGAGATGTCACCTCTAGAAATGCTGAGATTCTTTCATGTGGGATTTAAAGCAGCATAATTTCTGTGTCCCAACACCATCCGAGGGGCCCTGAGACCCCCATTTTTTTCTAACACTCATCTCCATATTAAGACTCAGTCTCATCCCCGTTTTACTGCTTCAAAATGCAGCTGTAATCACTAACTGACTCCAGATTGAGAGCCTGGCTTTGGAGTCGTGGTTGAGGAGCAGCAATGTTTCATCGTGGTGCCTTTTGGGTTTATTTTATTAGCTGCAAGTGACAGCGCTGAAGAAAGAATTATCTCTGAGCTGGTTTTAGCCTGTAACTGCCAGAGTTTCTCAAAACCCAGCTCTACTGAGCCTGTGGTTTGATGGTGGATGACAGTGCATCGGAAGATACTAGCCTGGGCCCCACACAGAGCCGTCTCTTCTGCTCCATCCTTTGTTTTGGGCATATGCACATCCATGAGGTTGTTGGCTATGGGAGCTGGGGTGTGTTCCCGAGGCGGGAGAAGCCGTGATGCTGCTGCTGCTGCTGCTCCTGGTCATGGTGGTCTTGATGCATGTGGTCCCAGGGCCTGCAGTGAAGGGCCCAGGGAGCTGCTTTCCAGCTCTTCCAGAAAGCTTGTTGAGGATGTGCTGGAGGCTGAAGCCTGGGGGGATGCTGTGGCTGGAGGAAGCAGGGAGAGTCAGGAGTCAGCCTGAGCAGAAGGGCTGTGCTTCAGGAGGCATCTCGGGGGGCTTCAGACAGCAAAGAGGGTTCAGCAAGTGCCCACCACTCCTTTGGGACAGGCTTCCTCCACAAACTTAGCATACTGCTGTTTTCTGTTTTAATTTTGATGTGCATGTTACAAGGCTGGCATGTCCACATTTAATAAGCTAATACTGCATTATGGATTATCTGTAGGTTGGAAACGGTATTGCCTTCCCCTATTAACTTCCCCTGCTTGAGAAGTATGTCTCCCCCCTCAACCCACCACCCTCTAACTTAGCACTAAAAATCATTCCTTGCTTGAGAAATTGGTGTTTTCAGTGATTTCCACGGTGTGTTGAAGAACTTGCTCTCCTTGCTGCACTGACCCCTGCACATACAGGATGCATCCCGGTGCTGGGGGGGCTGCCCATGAGTCTGGGTGCCCCAGGGGAGGTCTCTACCTTCAGTGCAGATAGTGGCACGGAGAAGTTTTTGACCCACTAGTATTTTTCCAAGCTCGAGGGAAACCTTCCCCTTGTTTCCCAAGACCTCTTGGAGCTGCTGTGTGCTTCCCCGTCCCACAGCTCCAAAGCCAGCCTGACTTTGGTGGGATTGGTGGCATCCTCCCTGCAAGCACATGACTATGGCCCTGTCTACCGGCGGGTGTGCATGGAGCCCCACAACCCGGGTGCGGGAGGAGCTTTCAGAGCCTCTTCCCTTGCTGGCAGCACAGTTTGGGATTGCTGCCTTGGCCACGGGCTGCTGCTGGGTCGTGGTCACTGGCCCTGGTGTGGCTGCTGAGGAGGAGCAAGGTTGGGATCAACCACTCTCTGGGGGCTCGGGGGTCTCGGGAGCAGCTGGGACCGCTTGCACCGAGGCTTTGCACACCAGCACAACCCCGGGGAAGGGCAGTGGAAGCTCCTGCACCCAAGAGGCGACAGGAGATGGAGGGGCAAAGGGGCACCCACGTGGCATTGGCTTGGGCTTCCAGCAGCCCCTTTCCACCCGGCTCTCCGAGGCATGCATGGGAGCGCCTGGCCATCTCCAGCACCCACTGACACTTTCCTTCACCCTCTCTCTGTCCTCACAGCTCGCTGCCGGAAGAGAAAAGCAAAACAAGCTCTTCCTTCGAGACTGGTCCGAAGCCGAGTGAGAAGCCAGATGCGGAGCAAGCTGAGCTGGACCCGGAGCAGAAGCGGAGCCGTGCTCGGGAACGCCGACGAGAAGGACGGTCCAAGACCTTTGACTGGGCTGAATTTCGCCCCATCCAGCAGGCCCTGGTGCAGGAGCGTGCAAACGCTGCAGACTCCTCCAGTGGCGGCTCAGCCGCCTTCCCCAGGGACACCGGTGCCACCGACGCCGACCCGGGAGAGCTGGAGCGGGAGCGGGCCCGGCGGCGGGAGGAGCGGCGCAAGCGCTTCGAGATGATCGACACTGTGGACGGGGCAGGGTCGGAAGAGGCACTGAGGATGGAGGTGGACCGGATCCTGCCCGTCCCGGCAGACATCAAACCGCAGAACGTGCACGTGGAGATCGAGCAGCGCTGGCACCAGGTGGAGACCACCCCGCTGCGGGAGGAGAAGCAGATCCCCATCACGCCCCTGCACCTCGCCCACGCCGAGGACCGGGACGAGGGGCTGGCAAAGCAGCACCTGACCACGCTGCTGGAGAAGGAGGTAAAGGGGTGTGTGGGGTGCAGGCTGCCTGCCAAAATGGCCTCGAGGCCACGGTGGTCACTGTAGGAAGTCTGGGATAGGCTTAAAAAAAGCTGCATTTATTGCTGCCTTGTAGTAGCAACAAGTAGGGATGCTGTAGGTCCTCTGGGAGCTGGCAAGGCACAGATCCATGTCCATTCCAGTTCAGCTCTGCCGGCAGCTTTCATGTTCCCACGGTTGCAGAAAGGGCTGTTCTTACAGCCTGGTACTTCCTTGCCCCCTCCCAGCCAACGCAGCCAAATTTCTGTTGGTTTGTAGCCACTCTGTCTGATGAGATGGGTACAATCGAGGTGTATCAAATAGACCCCAAATTTAAGCTCTCAATCCTGTGTGCCTCTGCAGCTGCAGATTTGTGTCTGCAGCTATAAACTGCCTTGAGTTGTAGCACATGCCACAAAGGTTCCCTTTTTGTGGAACCTACATCAAACAGTGTTGCAATTTTAGGAAAAGAAAGGAGGAGATTCAGCTCACTTGGAAGAGGTCCATGCCTGGGATAACAAAGATGGTTGTTAGTTGGGATTAAGGTGTATTAGCAGGAATGAAAGGGGTGCAGGCATGGAATAACCAGGAGTATCACCGAGCTGAACCGGGCAGGGATTTGCCGGGGTCGTGCCTGGCACGAGCTGGTGCCGTTCATCCTTTGCTACAGTGAGCTTTACGAATTACACTAATGCACCATTTAGTTCCTTCAGGGGGGAGGGATTTTTCCTGGCAAAATGAAATCCAGATTCCAGAGCAGAGCAGAGCAGCGGTGCCATCAAAAGCCCTGTTCATTTTGCTCTGTGTCCCCTCCAAGCCGCTTGTTCCTTATGGCTGATCCCCTGCCCACTCCCTGGACGCTGTCTCTGTTCGTGTCCCTCCAGCTGGAGCAGAAGCAGAAGGAGGCCCTGGAGCTCCTGGAGCAGAACCGGCACCTGCAGGACCAGCTGAAAGTGGCGCTGGGCCGGGAGCAGAGCGCCCGGGAGGGCTACGTGTTGCAGGTAGGAGAGCAGGGAGGAGAGAGAGATCCGCCTTCCTCTGCACCCGAGGGGATCCCTGGTGGGCTTCAGTCTGGGGTGTTCCTGGGGACATCCTGGGTGACACAGGGACGTGCACCACTGAGCGGGCTCCGAGAGATTTGACCTTCTTGCAAATGTTGCTAGTTCTGTAGCTTTACCAGAATCATCTGCTGAACAAAACCTCTGATCTGGGATGGGGTAGGAGGTAGCATTACCTATTAGCATTCCCAAGGGAAGACAAAACACAGCCGTGGTAGGCAGAGGAACCTCAGCAAAGTCCATCTCTGATCCATCCCGTACTGTGTTTGCCTCTGCAACAGCTGTCTCCCCCTTTCTGTTCCCCACATATTCCCCTCAGGAAGTGGGGTGCACACAAGGCTTTCCAAGTATCCTGTAGCCCAGCAGTTGCTCCTGGCTGGAGATTTTGTGTGACAGTTACACGGGCAAACACAGCACACTCAGGTGTATCTCCCAGGCATGTTCCCTGCAGCCAGAGCGGGATTTGCACGAGGACAACCTGGTGTCTTGGGTCACTTTGGTGGTTTCTTCTGTTACGAGATGCCTTTCCTCAGCTAAGCCTAGAAATGTGTTTTGGAGGATCTGGCAGAAGAGACAGGATGGTCCCTTGGGAAGCCTTTCCTCCCATCCTCCAAACAAAGTGAACGTTTCCCAGCCCTTCCTTTGGGAACATCCATGCCGAGAGGAGCTGTGACACCCACAGGGCAGCTTCTATCTGCTCTTATGGGTCCACAGTCCTGTTCTGTGGAGGGGCAGCATTTTGGTCTGCTCAAATCTACTTGACCAAACTGGCTGTGGATCAAAGTGCCTTGTGCGTGGCCAAACTCTGACTCCTGTGGCAGCAAAACCGGTGTCAACGCCAAACCTTAAGTCCTTATTTCTCACAGGAAAATTTCCCCTGAAGAAGTTGCACAGGCAGTGGAGCCAGCCCTGGGAGGGGGACATCCTGCCTTCCTTGCCCATGATCTCCCAGGAGGAGTTATTAATTCATTTATTTCTGGAGTCTCTGAGCTGACAATGCCTGCTTGGAGGAGTTCCACTTTCACTTGGCAGTGCTGGAAGAGTAACTAACTCCCACTTCCCTGGGGCAAAGGCATCCAACTTCCCTTTGCCTGAAGCATAGAAAAAAATCAGGGAATGGGGCTAAAAGCTGGATGCTGAATCCACCATCGTATTGTCTGTGCTTCAGTTGGCCATAGTGCCTCAATATGAGGAGGGGTAGCAAGAGAAGTGTGCAGAGGGGCTGGGCAAATCGTTGCTGCCGTGAGCAGTGACCCAAACTTGGACCTGGAAGTTGGAGAGGGTTTTTGGAAGGGTTGGAGGATTTTGCCTGCTCCAGTTTAATTGTTCTGGGGATTTCCCTTGTGTTTCCTGGGAGCCAGAGGGATTAAAATCCTATTGTAGAAGGGAGTAACCCCACCAAAATGTGCTGGGGTGGAGGGAGTGGAGTCACTGAGGAAATTCTGCAGCCCCAGACTGCAGGCAACCATCACAGCATTTCTTTTTGGACAAACCCTCAGAATTTCATGTGCCCCCACCTCCATCATGCGTAATTTCGGGGAGGTTCCTACACTGTCTCTGGGGAGGGGTGATGGAGGAGCCTGACTGCTGCCAGCCCATCCCTCCTGAGCTGCCTGGGGGTCACCAAGCCCAGGGCAGCCACTGACACCCACCCGATGCATGTGCCGTGCACCGAAGCCTCTCTGGCCTCGTGTAACCCCTCTCTTGCTCTGAGCTTCCTTGGGACCCCGACTTTGATCCCTACTGGGAGAAACACTTGGGGGCTCCTGCTCCTCACAAAGGGACTGGAGACGGTGGGGTGGGAGGGGGGCACGTACTAACCTGTCCCAGGCGGATGTTCTTGCATGTTTTTGGTGTAAAGCATGAAATTTAACTTAACATAACTGAGTGTCACATCTGTGGGCTTTCCTTATCAGCAACCAGAGTACAGCAAGGCAGGCCAAATTCCCAGGCTTAACGCTGTGCTTCTCTCGCCTCTTCCTGTCTGTGGTTTTTTTTTTTTTTTTAAGATACATAATTTCTGTCGCCTTTTGCATGACGCTTTCTGTGAGTTTTCTTTTTGCATGCTCCATTGCTTTGGTTTGAATCTCACAAAGGTTGGTTTCTTTCATTTTTACATTCTCATCACACCTTTTCCCTCCCTCCACTTGTCGGGCTTCTTATTTTGTCCTTTGTTGGTTTATTTTATTTTGCAGGTAGAGAAATTAGATCCTCCCTAGCCTTAAGCTTTAGTGTAACAGCATCTCTTTAATGCGTTGAGCAGCCACTCAGTCCTGTTCTGCAGGCACAGAAATGACATCTCCACCCCAGCTGGCCCGTGTCCCTGTGTTTGGGTGGGATGTGATGTCATTTGCTGTCACCTCACTTTCTGTTGTTGCTTTTGGTTGGTAGGACTGTGTTACCTGAACTGTGCACTTTTTGTTTCACAACCAGATGAACAAACCTGCTAAAAAAAAAAAGCAGCTCCTTTCTCCTCCACCTTGTTCCATCCCCTCCTCCTCCTCATCCTTCCCATTTTTCTCTTGTGTGTCTGTCTCTGTTTTACTGCTGGTGTTTCTGTTTCATTGTTTTTTGGTTCTGTTTGAGTTTGGGTTTATTTTTTTTTCCTTTTAGCCTGTTACTGTACAGCTGTTTTGATGTCGTGGTCAGTGTTTTCTGTTACTGGAAAGCAGTTGTTGCTCATTAAAAAAAAAAAAAAAAAAAAAAAAGTAAAAAAGTTGGTTAAACAAAATAAATTGTGCCAAGAACAAATCAGCCCAATTGGAGCATGTGAGTAGCAGCCAAATCGCTGCAAGGAGCTTTTCCATGGCCTGCCTGGCCAGAGGTGTGACACTCAGAAGGGAAAGCCAGGAGTGTTACTAATCTAGTATTTAATCAATTTTTTTAAGACCGAGGTGGCCGCCTCGCCATCAGGTGCCTGGCAGAGGCTCCACAAAGTCAACCAAGACCTCCAAAGCGAGCTGGAAGCCCAATGCCAGCGTCAAGAGGTGATCAATCAGCAGATTCAGTCGCTGAAGCGCAGCTACGCCGAGGCCAAGGACGTGATCCGGCACCACGAGGCCGAGATTCAGAGCCTGCAGGCGAGGCTCAGTAACGCGGCGGCCGAGCTCTCCATCAAGGAGCAGACCCTGGCCAAGCTCAAGAGCGACCTGAGGAGCGAGAAGGAGAAAGCCAAAGAGCAGCTGGAGGAGTGGCAGCACGGCGAGGCTGCGCTCAGCTCCCAGCTGAAGGCCAGTGAGCAGAAGCTGAAGAGTGTGGAGGCTCTGCTGCTGGAGAAGACCCAGGAGCTGCGGGACCTGGAGATGCAGCAGGCCCTGCAGAGGGACCATCAGAAGGAAGTGCAGCGGCTCCAGGACAGGATCGCGGACCTCAGCGGGCAGCTGAACGCCAGCGAGCAGGCGCGGGTCCTCATGGAGGAGAAGCTGCAGAAGAACTACGAGGCTTTGCTGGAGAGCTGTGAGAGGGAAAAGCAGGTTTTAATACGGAGTCTGAAGGAGGTGGAGGACAAGGCCAACGAGTACGAGAACCAGCTGCAAAACAGCGCGCAGCAAATGGAGATTCTGCAGAAGGAGAAGCTGAGCGCCAAGTTCGAGGGCAGCGAGCTGGTCCACCAGCTGGAGGAGCAGCTGGCGATGAAGGAGGCCAGCATCCAGAAACTCGCCGAGCACATCAAGGAGCTCGAAAGGGAGAGGGATCAGATCAAATGTCGGTTCCACGAGCTCATGAATCAGGTTGCCGAGTCAGATAACGAAGTTGCAAAGCTACAAGCAAAGTTGAAAATGGAAGAGACCAACTACCACAACCTGGAGCAATCGTTGGAGGAGGTGTCGGATCAGTTCCGGGGTGTGCAGGAGGTGCTGAAAGAGAAAGAAGAAGAGCTGAGACATGTCAAGGAAATGCACTTGAGAATTGTGGAGAAGAAAGATCAAGATCTCAGTGAGGCTTTGGTTAAAATGGTTGCTTTAGATAGCAGTTTAGAGGAGACTAAAGTAAAGCTAAAGGCCAAGGAGGAGGCTCTAAAGAAGTTAGCTAGTGTGGGCACAGGTCCATGTGCTGAGGAGGCAGAAGACCTTGGTCCCAGTCTTGAGGCTGACGAAAGTCATCCATCTCAACTGGGGCTGGCTCTGCAAACTCAGGATGTCCTCCCAGCTCTGACTTATGCACTGAAAGAGGAGGAGGATGAGGTTCTTGAGACCAGCCAGAGGCAAGCAGAGGAATTCGGCTCCCCATCCAAAGCTCTAGAGCTCCAGGACCAAGAGTTGGTTCAGAAAGCCTTAGCAAAGCCTGATGTGGGAATCATGGGAGCCAAGAGGCAAAGGATCCGTTTCTCAAGCATCCAGTGCCAAAAATACATCCATCCAGATGGAACAGAGAAAAACTGGACAAGCAGTACCTCTTCAGACACGAGCCAGGACAGATCGCTGTCTGAGGAAAGCATGTCCTCAGAGCCAGCTCTGGGTTACCCCTCGTCAGGGACAAGCGACTCTGAGACTTATCTCTCCATCATCCATTCCCTGGAAACCAAACTGTATATTACAGAGGAAAAACTCAAAGATGTCACCATGAAGCTTGAAAGCCAGCATGGCCATAACCAGGAGACGCTCATCGCCCTCCACCACCAGTGGGCCAGCACGGAGTCCCAGCTGCGGGAACAGCTTCAGACCAGCTTGTCCCAAGTCAGTGCTTTGATCTCACAGCTGGAGAACGAGAGGCAGGAAAAGTTCAAGCTCATAGAAAGTCACGTCAGCGAGCTGGGAGGTTTCCAAATGAAAAACAATCAAGCGCTGACTTGCTTAGAGAAGTGCAGGGAGCAACTAAGAGCCTTGCCCAAATCAGACAAGGAAAAAGAGGGTGATTTGTTCCTTGTTAATCTGTCCAGCATGGAAACGACGTTATCAAACGCGATCCAAGCCTTGAGCGGGGCGCCAGTCCCGTTGGAGTATCAGCAGAGTGAAAGCCTTATCACAGAAAGCCCCGCTCCAGAAGGAGAGGTTTTGGGAGAAGAGGAGCACGTCTCCAAGGAGCAGCGAGTGGAAGTGTTTGACGCCAGCCAGCTGAGATGGCTTTCTGAGAGGGTGGCATTTGAGGCCTCTCTCATCAACCAAATAGCAGAGTCTTTAAAAAATGCAAACTCTGAGATAGCCCAGCTTCTGAGAGAGATCCAGGGAACAGCTGAGGTGGTTTTGTTGGAGCCAGCAAGTGTTTCTAATACGGCCGTCGATTTGGCCGGTGTCCTATCTAAGAAGCTGCTGCTGGAAGGCGAGTTCTGGAGCCAGGTAGAGGAGCTGAGAGCACACTTGAGCACCAGAGACGGAGAAGCCGAGGACAAAACAGAAACAAGTTTGGGGGTTTCCCAGTGTTTTCTCAGTGCTGTAGCAGATGCTACGTTGATCAAGGCAGAACTTGGGTTTGTCGCACAGAAAATGAGAGAATCTTTTCATCAGAGATTAAAAACAATTGAAGAAGACCTCCATAATACCAAAACAGCTCTCCAACAGCACAAATGCATGTTAGAGGAGATCATCAAAGCCTACAGGACTCCTGAGTTCGACAGAGTTATGCACCAGATTTCTGAAGCGCTTGAAATACAAAAAGATGCTTCAGAAAGAGCCCAAATCTCCTGGGATGGGAGTCATGTCCAAATGGTGTCATGCCAGGAATTAGCCAAGGTAGAGCAGACTGGCAGCATGCCAGACCGTAGTAGTGGAGCTCTTGTCTCCATTCAGGAAGATCTTGCCCAACAACTAAAGGACAAATCCAATGTTCTGAAGGAGATATCTGTTGCCTTACTCTCTCTGCCTCCCGAGGAGGCAATGAGAGACTGTCAAAAGCTCCTGAAGATATCCCAGAGTCTTTCCTACCATTCGTGCATGGGAGACCTGGAGCGGTATTCCTCTTTGTTAGTCCACGATGCAATTGTTCAGGCTCAGGTTTGTTACGCCGCTTGCAAAGTCCGTCTGGAGCACGAGAGGGAGATGAAGTCCTACAGGGAGTCCCTGCAGAGCATGGACGCGCTGTGCCAAGAGCGTGTGAAGACGGTCTCTCTCCTGCGGGATGAGTACGAAGACTTGCTCAGGAAGCAGCAGGGTGAGTACAGCGAGGTGATCGCCGTGCTGGAAAGGGAGAACGCTGATCTCAAAGCCAAGGTGTCCCAGCTGGACAGCCAGCGGAGGCTCCTGGAGGAGGAAGAGCACAAACACAGCAAGAGCTTGAGCGAGCTCCAGGGACGTTACGAGGAGGAGATCCGGAACGTGATAGAGCAGCTCAACAGGACAGAGGATGCTCTGAAGGCTGAGAGGACCGAGGGCCTCAACCAGCTGGATGCCATTGTCCGCGACAAGCAGAACATGGAGCGGTATCACCTGGAGCAGATGCAAACGCTGGAGGAAAAGTTCCAGGCCAAGATCAAGGAGCTGCAGGTCATCCACGGCGAGGAGCTGCAGGCATTGCAGGAGCACTACAGCCAGAACCTGCAGCGCCTGCAGGAGACCATCGATGAGTACCAGAGGCAGCACCCAGAGGTGTCCCCTGCGGTGGTCCCGGGCACTGGGGACACCTGGGTGGCCGGCGAGGCGGGTGGCACTGGGCAGGACCCGGGCAGGGACCTGGACTCCATGCACGGCCTGAGGGAACGCATCCAGGAGCTGGAGGCCCAGATGAACGTCATGAGGGACGAGCTGGAGAACAAACATATGGAAGGGAGCGCTTCCACCTTGAGGGAAAAATACCAGAAAGACTTTGAAAACTTAAAGGTTTTGATATGTTTAACACTTTATGCTTTCTGCTGCTGAGTGTACGGGAGGGCACGTGCGGTCCTGCGGTTCGCTTGCTGAACTAAGGGGCGTCCCCCGAAAGAGTCAGCGTGCCAAAGCAAGCCCCAAGGTGTTAGATAGGCCTCTGTAAAGCATAGTATTTCCTTTTCTCCATGCTGGGGTATTCTAAATGCATTGCTGAGGGCTTGGGAGGGTGGATTTTTGGAGATAGTCTCTGTGTGGAGAGGGAAAGAGAGTTTCAAAGCGGCTCGATAACATCAAGCTCTCCTTCAGCACGAAGACCACAGTGTTTCTCCCTGTACCTGAGGCATACATTTTGTTTGTGACTTCCCTTTAAAAGCATTCCTCAACTCTGTCTTTCCCAATCTGATCCAATCTCCAGTCTGTCTCTGCTGCCTTCAAAAATGCAGGATGAAATGGAAACTTGATGCTCTCAAAATGTATGTTCCTGGGGAAAGTAGCTGCAAACAGATGCCAAATTCTGTTGCAAAGCAAAGCTCCTCTGCAGGAGGCTGTGAGGACCCTGCTGGTGTTGGACACAGCAGTCATGTACACAACAAACAGTGCACAGTTATGGGACACCCAGGTGAGGTGCAGAGAAACCCACTGGCAGTGAAATGCCACCCTTCAGATTGCCCCACCAGTCAAACTGGCTGTAAAAGTGACCTGAGATGGTCCAGCATCTAAAACAACCTCCTGGGTTTAGTGTTTTGCTTTTCATAGGAGAGCATTCCCAGTTAGGAAGTGAGTTTAGGGTGGTAGAGGACTCCAGCAGCACCAAGAGAGGCTGCCAGGTTGAACAGGAAACTAAAAGGGCAGTGATGCAGAGGCTGTGCTGGTGAGGCTTTCATGGAGCGGTTGCCCTTCAGAGTCATTAAAAATGTGGGAGAGCTTGCTTCCAGACACGAGATCCAGCACACTGGACTGGGGGTTAAGCGTGACTCAGCTCCAGCTGGTTTTAGCCTGGGAAGAGCAGTAGTTCTGCTGCAACCCGTAGGAGTGAGGTGGTGGTGGTCACTGAATGCTCTCTCCTCCCTCTTAACCCTTAGGAAGGAAAACTCCCTCTTGACCCCCCCGATTAAGGTCAGTGGGACAGATGGGTAACATCCATCCTGTGAACCAGGCACCAAACAGGGTCACTTGTGTTTGGGGATGTTCTTGGTTTGGAAGAAGCAAAAAACCCATAACCAGAGCGGAGGGTGAAAAGTAACAGTGAGCAATGGACGTGACCTCCCACCTGTGTTACCGACTTTGCCAAAATTTGCGGTTTGCCCGGTGGGATGGAAGTAGCAACTCTGGGTTAGAAACTTCGTCTGGTCAGAAAGTTAACCAGGTGATTATAAACCTGCCCACATGTGTCCAGAATGGCTTCAGTGTGCTTGATTCTTCTCTTCAGAACCTGATGGAGAATGTAGAATCGGTAACATAAAAGTAACTCTTTAGGCTGGAGAAGAGAAGGCTCCAGGGAGACCTTAGAGCCCCTTAAGTGACTCCAGGAGAGCTGGGAGAGACTTTGGATGAGGGCGTGGAGTGACAGGACAAGGGGGAATGGCTTCCCACTGACAGAGGTCAGGGTTAGATGGGATATTGGGAAGAAATTCTTGGCTGTGAGGCTGGGGAGGCCCTGGCACAGGTTGCCCAGAGAAACTGTGGCTGCCCCATCCCTGGAAGTGTCCAAGGCCAGGTTGGATGGGAGTTGGAGCAACCTGGGATAATGGAAGGTGTCCCTGCCCATGGCAGGGGGTTGGAACCCTGATGAGCTTTAAGATCCCTTCCAACTCAATTCCCAACTATGATTTTATGAGATACCAGTTTGTACGTGTTCAAGTCTCCTGGATTTGTAGCAATGCATTTACAATACATTAAATAGTGAATCTGGAGCCAGACCTATAGAGGAGTGTTCACCCTTTTCCTCTAATATTAGAGGTGTTTCAGGAGTTGGACTCCATGATCCTTGTGGATCCCTTCCAACTCAGCATATTCTGTGATTCTGTGTGCAATGAAGAATCCTGCAGGGCTGCTCTGTGCCACTCCAGTCAGCCAAGTCCAGGCAGGTTCTGGCACTGAGTTAGGAGTTTAAAAAAAAACAACAAGGCTGAGAAAGTGAAGACTGCCTTGGGATTAAAACTTAAAGGGGAGGGAAAAAACCACTGGAGCTGAAAATGGAGAATGAGGTTGGCAGAGGTTACAGAGCATTTGACAATAAAGGGATGCTGAGGGGTGCATGTTAGTGAAGGTCAGTGGTGTTGGACTGTCCTGAGCAGTTTTGTTGCTGGGGGAGTGAATCTGTCCCCTTTAAATTTCCCATGGGGTCCCTAGGTGACAGTTCTCCCTTCCTCTGAAAAACAGTAGTGCTAATCAAGAAGGAATCCATTGAAATCAGGGAATAAAACCAGCCTGTGACATTAAGGAGAAAAGCCTGGTGCAGTGCTTGGTATCAGGTTTGGCCCAAGCTGTCTGATGGGGCTCAGCACCTTGTCCCCAGTGTGTGCCCTTTCTCTGCTCGTGGCTTGGGCCTGCCTGTGGCTTTGCTGGTCCTGCCTCTGTCCTGCAGCCGTGTGTCCATCCGGGATCCCGATGTGCTTGGGCTGACAGCTGAGCTGGGAACAGGCTTTTGCATTTGTCTGCTGTACAGGCAGGAGCGGGGTCTGTGCCGGGGGCAGAAGGGCCAGGCTGGAATTCAGGATCTCTCCCCTGATTGCTGCTCCTGTGTCCTGGCCAGAGTTCACTCCCAGTAATTCAAATAGCAGGTAACTGCCCCTGCAATGTTTGCAGCAATGCTTGGTTGGGAATTAAAGTCCTGTTCTTGTCACATGTCATCTGCTTCCACCCAGAGGTGGCCACATAAAACCGGGCATTGAAAACCGAGCAGAAAGGGCATAGAAGGCTTTTTTTTGGTTGTTTTTTTTGGCATATATTTGCATTCCCCCGTTGGGTCTGCCCCCAGACCTACCCTGTGCTCCCCTTTCACCGGAGCTATCTGGGTCAAGCAACTGCAGGAATAAGCCCTGACCTTGCAAGGTTCATTCTCCTCCATGGCTGAGGAAGGGGAAGATGCATGATGCACCTACTTGACCATGAGCTGACCTACCTGCTGGCATGTGGCTCCTGGTGGGCTCACCACTGCTGTGACACCAGCCCTGTGCTCCTGGGCCAACCCCTTCCCCTCATCCCTTTGCAGGCAACATGTGAAAGGGGCTTTGCAGCCATGGAGGAAACACACCAGAAGAAGATCGAGGACCTGCAGCGGCAGCACCAGCGGGAGCTGGAGAAGCTGCGGGAGGAGAAGGATCGCCTGCTGGCAGAGGAGACAGCTGCCACCATTTCAGGTACAGGGACACGTCAGAGGGTCCCTTGTGGCAGCTCTGTGTTGATGGGGACACAGGGATGATGTTTGCTCCATGGAGGAGCAGAGCAGGGATGAGATGAGGGCTGGGTGGGGAGCAAAGGGAGATGGGAAAGGGCTGGTGGGAGAGATGTTTTGGATGGAGGCCCATCTCCTGGTCTTTATCCAGGTTTGGTGCCCATCTTCTTGGCTGTTGCGTGGTCTGATCTGTTTTCCATTCCAGCTCAGAAAGACATTAGTCATTCCTGTGGTTAATTTATTGGCAATTCCACACTGAATTCATTCTTCAGTGCCCCGGGTATTGTTAAAACGCTGGAGCTTGGGGTCTCTGCATTAGGAGTCCCACAGTCCAGGAAACAATGTGTGAATTGGACAATCATTTGAACTTGATGAAAAAATGGGATTTGCAGAACCCTGAATACAGACTGAAGGGGCTGTGATGCAGTGGGAGCTTTGCTGGGATCATTCAGGTTTTTGTTCCTTTAAAAAACAAATAAGAACTCAAAAAACCTTCCCATGAGCGGAGGGTGCTAACTCTGTGCTGTCCCACGCAGCCATCGAAGCCATGAAGAACGCACACCGGGAGGAGCTGGAGCGAGAGCTGGAGAAGTCCCAGCGCTCCCAGATCAGCAGTGTCAACGCCGACATCGAGGCCCTCCGAAGGCAATACCTGTAAGACCATCATCATCCTCAGTCTGTCGCTGTCTTGTGGGGAGATCACGTGTGCGGGAGACTCTTCTCTCCCCTTTGATTTTGGCAATGAGTTGGGGCACACCTGCCATTGCAGGGACCTCTTCCTTCCCAGCCCCGCTGCACCCACCGGAACCTCCTGGTTGCCCGTAATCTTTCAGTCCTCAGATCAATGTTCCCACATGACCCAAATTCAGCTGCTTTGTGGTCACCAGAAGTAGCAGATGTGCAGCCATGGTGCTGCTTTTCACGCAGCTGCAGTGGAAGGGTCGTTCAGCCAGATGTAACAGGCAAGGAGGAGGTGCTGAGCTTTTCGTGGCAAGGCTGTTCTCCCAGCTGGGACAGAGAAGGGTTGACTCGCTCCGGGCTCCCAAAGGGAGTATGCAGTCCTCATCCTCAGTGCTCAGATCCCTGTTGGGTTGTCCTGGGATGCTGAAGTAAGAGTGGGCATGGGGGGGGTTGTATGTGGAGAGGACACTACCCAGCATGTGTTCCGCAGGGAGGAGCTGCAGTCGGTGCAGCGGGAGCTGGAGGTGCTTTCGGAGCAGTATTCACAGAAGTGTTTGGAGAATGCCCACCTGGCGCAGGCGCTGGAGGCTGAGAGGCAGGCCCTCCGCCAGTGCCAGCGGGAGAACCAGGAGCTCAACGCTCACAACCAGGTGAGGGTCCCTGCTGTGCCCGGGGCAGCCAGCACGGGTGATGTTGGGCTCTGCTCCGAGCAGTGGCCGTGCTCCCCCTTCCCACAACAGCTCTCCTCTTCCCAGGAGCTGAATAATCGCCTGGCTGAAGAGATCACACAACTGAGGAGCCTGCTGATGGGGGAGGGCGGGGGAGAGGCTGCTGGGTCGCCTCTCACGCAGGGCAAGGACGCCTACGAGCTGGAGGTGAGATCTGCCGCGGCCGTGCCGAGGGGCACATGGGTGGGCACATGTGCTGTGGCCCCTGGGAGCCATCCCATGTCACTGTGTCACAGCCATCTGTCCCTCTGACATCAGATCTGTGTGGCTGGTCAGCACTGTGCATGGTGGGCTGCAATGGGGCCAGGAGATTTTAGGGTCCTGATCTTCCCTCCTCACTGTGTCAAGTCAGACACTTGCTCTTCCTTCTCCAGTCTCTGCTTGTCCCTGGGGTCCAGTCCATGCAGAGCAGTGGGGATGAACTGAGGACTGTGCAGGGACCACATCAGTGGTGCAAGCTTGGCCAAGTTCCCAGGAGATTCAGGAGGACTTTTCTTGCATCAGAAGAAGGGTGAACCAGAGGCTTTGTGGGGCTGAGCCTCCAGCCCTGGCTCAGTTGTCACTGGGCATAGCGGGCGAGCATCTCGGGATCAAACTGCATTTGCTTGGGTGGAAAACATGCTGGGTTTGTTCCCACAGGTCCTGCTGCGGGTCAAAGAGTCTGAAATCCAGTATCTGAAGCAGGAGATCAGCTCCCTCAAAGACGAGCTGCAGACAGCACTGAGGGTAATGCCAGGGATGGTTCTGCAAGTCCTCTTTCTGTGCTCTGCTTCTGCATGTGTGTGTGTATGCGCTCTTAGGTTTCAGCCCACTTATACCCAGATTTGAAACAATATTAAGTTTTTCCCCTGAATGGAATTCAATACCCATTTTCCTGTCATCAGTAGAGCACTCCACTGTGACTGTATCAATTTAGGACTTATTCCACAAAGGAGACAGTGTGGGAAAACATCCCCTTTAGTGTGATTTCCCCATTTTCTGTCACATCAAATCAGACTTAAATGGCAAAAATAATCAGCGTTAAGAGATCTGCCCAGCCTCGCAGCAGTGGATCTGGTTTGTTCTGGACAAGCCAAGGCCATTTCTGGGAATTCTGCTTGAATTCTGTGTGTTGGCTAAAATCAAAAGCCACAAACAATCCTGTAGCTGAGGGGCTGCCTGCACGGGCAGCACTGTGTGCTCGCCGTTGGCTCACAGCTTTCCGCCTGTCTCAAGTCCCGTAGTCCCGTAACGCTGTTGGAAGCAGCTTCGAGGGTGTGTGTTGCCCCAGCCAAGCATTTCTCCTGCTGCCGGCTCTTCTTCCGTTGGCATTTGCCAAGCTCCTCTTCAGTGCATCCACAAACCCCTCGGCTCCAGCTGTCTGTCTGGCTCCATCGGGTTGTTCTTGTTCCCTTGCCAGGATAAGAAATACGCCAGCGACAAGTACAAAGACATCTACACGGAGCTGAGCATCGTGAAGGCCAAGGCAGACTGTGATATCAGCAGGTTGAAAGAGCAGCTGAAAGCAGCCACAGAAGCTCAGGGAGAGAAATCCCCTGTGAACACCACTGTATCGGGATATGGTCAGTCCTCCTCCAGCAGCTCTAAGTAGTCCTGGGTGTCCCAAGCTAACACGTGCATCCGGGCCTGAGTGTAGGACTTGGCCTTCCAGCCCACAGATGGGAAGCTGATGGGCTTTGAAGGCCTTCTGGCATTTGGCATCAGGAAAACCCCGTGATGCAGGGGGGCAGAGACCCTCAAAAGCTCCCTCTGCCTTTAGGGCGGTGCTGCTTGAGCCGGGCTCATCAGGACACCTGCCCGGGCTGGGAGGGCAGAGGAGCCCCAGCCCTGCAGGAATGCAGTGGGCACCAGGCTAACCCCCCTTCTTTTGCTTCTTCCCAGATATTATGAAATCAAAAAGCAACCCTGATTTCTTGAAGAAAGACAGATCCAGTGTTAGCCGGCAACTAAGGAATATCAGGTCAAAGGTGAGCTCAGATCTCCTGCCCAGTGGGATGGGAATGGGGAGTGCCTACATTACTCTCCATTGGGGGTCCCAGGTGGGAAGAAATTGGTAGGGGAAGAAAACTGAGAATTTCCCAGTCACTAGTGCTGGCCTGGATGGTTTTTGACTGCAAAAGGGCTGACTGTGCAGCCAGGCAGGGCCCGATCCCCCACTCCTGACCCTGCTGAGCTGGAGGTGTGAAGCTGCTCCCTGCTTGGAAAAAAAGGATGAAGTTCACCCTGTTCTTTGGTCTTTCACAGGACTATCCCAGTATTTGCTCCCTATTTTCAGTTGAAATTGAGGTGGAAATGTGCACATCATTATAGGTTTTAGGGTTCATGACTGCAAGATTTTTGGTCTTTCTGTGTGGCAACGATGCCTTGGTCCTGGGCCTATTTAACACACACTTTCCTTGTGTGTTACCATGGTGCAGATGGCCCTGTGCCTCTGTGGCCCTTCTGTGCTTGCTGTTGGTCCCAAAGCCCAGTGATGCTGTGCCAAGCTCTCCTTGGCAGCCAGTTACATCATATGGGACTACAGGGATAAAACAGGGCAAATAATGCTGATCAGGAGTCAGCATTAAACATAAGTCTGCTGGGAGGAAGATGAGCATGAGCAAACCTGCTTTGCATCTCACCTGGTGTCTCATGCTGATGTTTGAAGTGGTTGGGCCCTTGCAGGAGAGGCAAAAGCCTTCAAGCTCGGTGCCCACATGGGGAAACAGTCACTCCCAGAGCTCTGTGAGCGGCAGCTCCTCAGCTTGGGGTGCCTGCGCTGCACCCAGTGAACACAGAGAGACCTCTGCGCATTTTGGGGCAGCTCAGACCTGCTGGGCCAGTCTGATATTGGGTTTCCCTTCACCACTTCAACTCAGATCACTTTTTCTGTGGTCTCTGTGTGTGTTGCTTGGTGGGAAAGGAGGAGAGGAGAGGAGAGGAGAGCAAGCACGGGCTGTGCCTGGGTGCTGTCGCTGCGGGGCGGGGGCTGGGGCTGCGCCAGCGCCAATGCACTTGGGATTTATGAGCTTCTTGTTTTTTGTTTTTGTTTTTGTTTTTTTTTTTCTTTATTTTGCTTTTTCCTTCAACAGTCCGTTATTGAGCAGGTCTCATGGGATAACTGAAATGAACCCGAGTCCAGGTTCCCTGCCACGTAGGTAAACAAACCGGCACCCGCCCAGCGACGCAGCTGCCCACGGGAGCGGCCCAACTTTTGCATGCCCTGCTCACACCTCCACGGCAAACCAGAGCCCTTCTTCTCTTGATGACTGACCCGTTTATTTACGGCTAATTCTTTTCCTCGGGGGGGCGGGGAAGGGAGGGGAGAAGTCAGTGCACCCAGGATCTGTATGAAACACGGCCTCTCTGGCTCTTCCCGGGGGAATATGGCTTTCTCGTCTTCCTGCTCCTCCCACCCTCTCCAACACAGCTCACCGACACGGAGAGGATTTGGGCATGGTGGGGCACGTCTCCCTGTTTGCTGTGTTGGGAGCGTGGGACACTGAGTGTGCACGCCTGAATGACTCTGCATGCCTCAGACTAAACTCCAGCACCATCCAGGTCTCACAGGAAAACACCCAGTTTGCTGTTAGCCAGGTGGAGGAATGGTCAGGGATGCCTGTAAGTGCATTTCCCACAACAGCCTGGAGCATGGGAAATGGTGGCCCCTGCCTCAACTGCAGAGGATGATGTCTTGGGCTGCCCTAAATTTCCTTTGCCCATAATTGCTGCATCTTCAGGTTGATCTGTGCCTGAGCAAGAGTCTTCCTCCCCCAGTAACCTCCTCCTCCTCCTTCTCTCCAGTCCTAGTCCAGCCCCCAGTGTCCACCCAGCTGCTCTCCGTCCCTTGGCACTGCACCTGCATCCCACACAGTGGCTTCCAAGCTCATCCAGCAAAAGGAGGGAGCTGTTGAGAAATGAGGCTGACTCAATGAGCCAAATATCTCCATTAACTGGAGCAATAGTTAAATTTACTGGCCTGTGGCGAAGACTGAGGTTGGAGCACCTGCAGAGGCAGTTTAGAGGAGAGGGGAGCTCCCAGCACGGTGACAGAGGGGTGGCTGGAGAGCCCCAGGAAGTGTGATGGAGGATCCCTTTATCTCAGATATCATCCCATATTAGTCTCACTTCATCAGGCTCCCCTCATCAGCAACTCAAATGGGTTGTGAGACTGCCTGGGGGCTGAATTTGCTGGAATTTGTACCATCAGGCAGAATGGTCTAATGATTCCTGGTGCCTCCTTCCATCTAATGAGAAATCAGATGCACGAACTGGAATGCACGGGTTGCTCCCATTTAAAGAGGCCCAAAGTAAACTTCCCTTAGGAAGTGTGTGCTCAGAGACTCACATCCCAAGAGACTCTGCTGCCCATTGGAAAGAAAGCACAGAGCATTTGGAAATTCAGTCCAATTCAGTGCTTTCATTTCCGTGCTGCCTGGCAAAGCCGTTCTGTGTTTGTGGGTCTGTGGGAGGAAAAACATTTCCAGAAATACAGTAACCATGGGAATCTGCACAGCCTTGGGGCAAGTTTATCATGGAGTCCTGCCTTGATAAACACATGGGAAAAAAAAACCATCCAAAAAGTCTAACCTGCTGCTGTGATTGAACAGTCCTCTGGCACCACAGTCAGGGAAGGGAAAGGAAAAGGAGAGATGGCTGCCTGTTAATAGGATCATAAAGTCCCAGAATGGTGTGGGTTGGAAGGGATCTTAAAAATCATCCAGTTCTAACCCCCTGCCATGGGCAGGAACACCTTCCATTATCCCTGGTTGCTCCAAGCCCCATTTGACCTGGCCCTGAACGCTTCCAGGGATGGGGCAGCCACAGCTTCTTTGGGCAACCTGTGCCAGGGCCTCACCACCCTCATAGGGAAGAATTCCTTCCCAATATCCCATCTAACCGTGCCCTCTGTCAGTGGGAAGCCATTCCCCTTGTCTTGTCACTTCATGCCCTTGTCCAGAGTCCCTCTCCAGCTCTCTTGGAGCCCCTTTAGGCACAGGAAAGGGCTCTAAAGTCTCCCTGGAGCTTCCTTTTCTCCAGGTTGAACAATCCCAATTCCCTCAGCCTTTCCTTATAGGAGCTGAGTTCCATTTCTCCAGTCTGTGCCTTTGAAGGTGCCAAGTCTTAGTCTGTAAAGCAAATAATGTTCCAGCTGCAGAGTGAATTCCTTGCGAGTTCCAAGGAACGGGCTGGCAGGCAGCTGCCTGTGCCAGCAGTGGGGCATGAAGGGGCAGAACCCTGGCTCTGGGGGCTGTTTTTAGGGGGGATGGCTGTGCCAACTCATCCACAGCAAGCAGGGACAACTCACTTCCCAAGACTTTGCTCCCCTGAATCTCTCATGCCACAGGTTTGAGGCTGGAGGAAGGAGAGAGGCTGGTGTTAGGTTGGTGTGTCCCCTCGGGCTGGTTTCATCTTAAAGCTGATTTACAGGAGTCAAGCAATTTGTTTCTGGGTTTCTGCCCCTCTCATTGCTGTTCTCCTGGGTTCCCACATGTAGGTGAGGGATTTCACAGTTCCAAGTGCCAAGGGCTAGGAGGGCTGGCCTATGTGATGGTCAGCTGAGCGTTGTGCCTTGAAATCTGGATGCTGCATCTGAATTGGATCAGCCATCAGACCCTGCCATACCTGAGCAGAATTTAGGAGTTGTCTGTCTAACCCTGGGCAGTCGAGGCACTTTTGGCTTGGTTTAATCCCAGGCTGGGATTAGAGTGGTTGAGATGGCCACTGGCAGCACACACCAGTTTCCAGGGCTCCTGGAGCAAATCCTGCATTGACCAGAGCCAGAACCGTCCCCATGGGTGCCACAGTGGTGCAGGAGGCAAGAAAGGACCAGTGTGCAGGTCCTCCTCAGCATCCTGGGGCTTTAGGGTAGCAAATCCAAGCTTCATTGCCGGAGCTCTGCTGGAATTGCCCCATCCAGCACTGCACCATGGGCCCAGGGGGCCATCTCCCAGTCAGCTAATCCCGCTTGCAGCATGGTGTGTGCCTCTCATTCGCTTCTCGTCCGTCGCCTGGTTCATTGCAATCTCACCCTCTCTCTAGGCACCAGTAACCGCCCTCCATAACCGTGTGTTTTCTCTCAGCATGTCCCACTAATCTCTCCGCCCAGGAGCCCATCCCTCCACTGCCTCGTCTCCTCTGCCTGAGCATCGCCCCCTCTCCTCGTGCCAGGCGCCCGCCCACGTCCCACGCTCTCTTGTCTTTTCTCTCTCCCAGAGTCTGAAGGAAGGCCTGACTGTGCAAGAACGCCTGAAGCTTTTTGAATCCAGGGACTTGAAGAAAGACTAGTTCTCCCCGCTCCGCTTGACCACGCGCACCTCCCAGCTTGAGGCAGCACAGCACCAGCACCGTTTGTCTCTCGTTCCTTACGACTGTCCTTGCTGTCGTTCGTCTTGAGGCTCCCGACGGGACCCGGCGCCGCGGTGGTGCCCCCCCGCCGCCCCCTCGCCTCCCCGGCTCCTTTCCCTGCTTGTGAGATGCTCCAGAGACTCTGAGAGAGAAAGAGAGAGAGAGGAAGGGATTGGATTGGGGGTTTTTCCCCCCTCTCTTCGGCGCTTTGTAGGAGAATCCTTTCTTTACTGTAAACCATTACACTAAGTGTCAGTATTAAGGCTCAGTAGCCTGTTAATAAGCTATAGCTCTGTCGTACCGGCCGCTCTGGTGTGCAAGCAGGGCCTGGGTGGTGTCGGCCAGACTGAGCTCTTACTGCTGTCTAGAGACCCAGTGCTCAGAGCACGCCAGGAGCCTGATCTAATCATTGATCTCGACTGCATTACTTGCACCTACAAGGGGGGAAAGCCCGGGGGAAGCTGTTGGGGAGCGCGAGTCTGGAGGTACAACACTGACATCCCGCTGGAGAAGGATACAAGAAGTGATTCTCCTGCCCCGTGACTGTGCCGTATCCTGAATGTAGGTGCCACCGAAGCCTGGCGAGCTTTGGTGGCTGCCCAGGTGGTTTTGGATAGGGAGCTGCAGCTACTGAAGTGCACCAAGTCTGCCCCGTCGGCGCGTCTTTGCTCCCGTCTCGCTGGTGGTCGGAGTTGGTGTTCCAGGGGCTGAGCTGTAAGATCACTTTCTTGCCTCTGTTAGATCAAGCCCAGCACTCTCTTTTTTTGCTGTTACTCCCTTCCTCTCATTGAGTCCCGTGTATCCCAGGGTCTGTGCGCATGTGAAACTCCCTTTTCCTAGTCAAAGGAAAGTAGAGTAGAAAGTAGAGCCAATATTGACTGAAAATGCACAGTGCTCAATGCGTATAATGCTCCTTTTTTATCAGCTTCTTGAATTCAACTCTTCTTGTCAGCAGGGCAGCTCCTATTTTAATTCTTTAATCTTTTCCTGAAATAAAAGTCTCAAAACCAGTATGTGCTTCAGACCTTCTCAGTCCTAGTAGCTTTTGTATTTAAAATACACAGTTTAGCACCGTGAGGCCAATAAATGGATACAAACCAAAAGTGAGTTGAGGAGCTGGTAGCACTAGATGGTCGCAGCCAGCTGAGCAGAGGCTTCCTAGAAGAAGCCTGTGCTGTTTTGTAGCAGCTGCTCAGGTGTTGGGGCTTCATCCCGGGCTAAATTTCAAGATGCCACCTGGAAAGCCCCCAGGTCCTGCCTCGCCACTCGCCAGGGCTGAAGGAGCTCTCCAGCACGTTGGCTTCCCAGCCCTGTTCATGTGCCAAGTGAACTGCATCACATCAGGCTGGGATGTTAAAGGTACATCCTGGCCTTCACCAGGAGCAAAGATTCCTCTTGTCCTTGGGCACTCATCACATGGTTGAGGCAGCTCTGTCTCCTTCCCTGCTGGTTTTGGGTCTGCTAGGCGGGCAGTGCAGGCGCAGCTCTCAGCACCACAGGGCTGGGGATGGACATCTCCAGTCCTGCCAGGCTGCACCACAAGAGTCGCCCTCATCCTCCTGCTTTTAGCAGCATCTCCCTTCCAGCCACCAGGCCCTCTGCAGGAGACGATGTCATCAGAACGTGGTGAGAATCAGGCTCTCGTCCAGCTTGTGTGGCCTTGCCATGGCCACGTGCTCGGCTTGGAACCTCCCGGGGCACTCGTGGCAGCACTCGGGTCCTGCCCACAGGAGCACCACTTGTCCCCAGACAAGATGTCAGCACCTGTCAGTGGGCAGAGCACGTCCAGGGACGCTCTCCTGCTGCGATGCTCTGCGTGCCTCGGTGTGCATGGAAGTCCTGGAGATGGGAGCAGGGTAGGAAAGATGCCCTGGAGCGTGGCTTGGTCACATCCAAAGTCATCTGTCCTCCTTTCAGCAGGGATAACCTTTACACTTCATCTCTGGCTGCTCTGGGTCCTTGGTGAGCTGTGATGTCCCGGCAGAGGCTGTGGGATGCAGCATGGATGTGGAGTGGCGTGTGGGCCTTGTCATTGTCATTGCTCTTCCCTTAGAAGACGTCACTGCCTCTGGGAGAACAGCTTCCTCCTCCTCCTCCTCTTAAGACTTATGATGGGACTTCATCCTCTTTAGCCAACTGAGCAGAACGTGCTGGTCTCCTTCTTGCCACGTGGACCTTGACCCTTCTTATGTCCCCCAGCAAATCCTGCTTTTCCTTTGGATGCTTCATTGGCTCAGGAGCCGTAATTCTGAGGACTGGCACTTGCTATTTGCATTGGCTCATTGGTGGCGTTGGGGACACAGGATGGGCCCTTTCTGATACAGGATCGTGTTGCTGAGCATTGGGAGGCTCCCCACGGAGAGAAGTTTTCTGCTGTACGTTTGCTCATACCAAAAAATCCTCTCTTGCAGCTTAGTGTCCTGCCTGGGACTAGTTATTGAGCCTAGTAAGAGCACTGGATTTCTTTGCCAGAAAGCTCCTGCTTCCAGGCTGATTTCTTAACATAGAGACCAGCTGTGCAGGTGGAGGGCACACATGGAGCAGATCATCCCCAGCTTTTGACTTAGCATCTGTAAATACATTAATATGATATTTTTTTTTTTTTAAGAAAGGGGTGAGGATGGGCAGCAAGACACTGCATGTGTTGGCAAAGCTCTGTGCTGAAGACAGGGAGGGTCCAGAGCTGCCCTTTCTCTGTAGTGCTCCAGCCCTAAATCACCCTGTGAAGAGAGGCTGGTGGGGGATATTCTTATTTATACACATATAAAAATATTACTGCTGGTTAGTGGGGGGAGAAACAGCCCAGGAACACTTGTACAGCTCTTGCTCCTTTCCTGTAGACATGTCCCTGGGCTAAGCAAGAGATTATAGAAACTTCTGGGCCACTTTTGTAAGTTCTTCACCCAAGGCACTGCACTGCATCTCTCTGGTGAGGCATTGCCAGGGATCCTGCAGCATCAGGAATGAAGCTGGATTTTTTCTTCTCTCTTTCCACTATTTTTTTACCTTATTGTACAGAAAATGTCAGTCCTCACATCACCCCCCTCCCTCTTTTAGGGGCTCCCGGAAACATCTGTAAAAGGATTTGAATTAAGGATTACCCAGACTCTGTATGATCAGCTCCAGGGAATCAGCTGCTCAGAGGTTTCCTTTTGTTTAATCCATATTGGCCCGGACCTTCAAATTGCTTTAGAAAAGCAAAACAGGCAGGTTTGCTGAGGAAAAACAAACAAACAAAACACCCTGGCACTACCAGGTGCAGCTGAAATAAAAGGTGTTGGCTGGCAGGAGAACAGCCCCAGGGAACAGAGAGAAGGACCACAGGGAACATTGTGTGTGTGCAGGGATGGGGGGACCAGCCACCACTGTCAGGGCTTCAGTGGTGTTTAATAAGCCAAATTAATTAATCTCATTGCTGAACTTATTGGTTGAAAATACTTCTCTCTAAGCCAGGGGGTCTTTAATGAACAGGTGGTGGTGTTCTCTTATTCAGTAAAGGGAGAACCTGCAGCACCAATAAAGAGCCAAAACCTGAACTTTTCCTGCAGAGAGCAGTGCTTGAAAATAAGGTGGGGAGAGGGGCGTGCAGAAAAGCCAGCTGGGAGGCTTATTACTCATAGCAGTGGTCCTTAGTTATCCTCTTTCTTCTTCCTGCTCCAGGCTTCATCCGTCTTTTTGGATTAATCAGTAGTTATTTAAATAGGAAAGTGTGTGGGCAAGCTGCTGCATTTTGCACCACTCCACACTATTGATAGCACTGACTTGGGTTTAGGAAAAGTCAAGTGCAGTGAAGGCACAGGCGTCTTCTCGTCAGCTCCAAGTAATCTTATTTTTTTCCTGAGTAAAATTTTCCTCCCGTTTGCACCATCTCCCCTGAACTAGACTGAATCCTTCTTTAAATTTCACCTTTTCTTTGCCCACTTATTAAAAAAAAAAAAAAAAAAAAGAAGCAAGCTGTGTTCGTTTGCTTCAAAACCAGAATTGTGTAGAACTGGTGCTGACTTGCAAACCAGAAAAGTCCCTTTTTTTTTTTTTTCTGTACCAGAGAACTGGGCTGCAGTAAAAGCTTCACCACCTCACACTGCAAAATACGTCACTTTTGTACTGACTGTACTTGATGGCACTTCCATGAGACCTTTGCATTTTTTGTCCTGGTTCAGATACTCAGTTTGTTGTGGACACTCAAGCACACACACACTCGCTGTAGCTGGTCTTTGCTCTGTAATTTTTTTCCATTTTTTAAAGGAAAAAAGCTTTGTTATTCTTCTCTTAAAAAAAAAAAAAAAAGGTAATTTAAAACCTGTATAGTGTTCCAAGCACGCAGTGTAAATATTTATTCCTCAGCAATTAGCAGAGGGTTCTCTTTTGCGACTGAGTTGTGGGTTTGATTTTTAAATCTTGTTCCACGTGCGGGTTGGGGAAGAAGCGATGAGTGTAACGTGTCCAACCCACCCTGTCTTCCCTGATAAACCATTTCTTTGGGGTTTTAGGACTGTTATAAATATATTTTCAAGCCTTTTCTGCTGACCTACACCTTTAGTTTTGAAGGTACCTGTCCAAAGATTGTGTACAGTCCCTTTGACCGCTGTAACCTACTTTGCTATAAATTTGGGGTATTTTTTTTCCATTCAGAGGACTCGGTAATCTTGTGTTTGAAAGTGGCACCGACGCCGTGCATGTGCAAACTGTTACCTGTTGTTATAGAGAGCAGCAACAACTCCTTGGTGTGACACAGCTCTCCTTGCACAGTCACCTGGGGCTGTCACGGTGAGCACAGTGAGCCCCCGGATTTGGGAGGCACCTGTAACACTGTGCTTCCTTGCTCAGCACATCTGGGATTCTCTTGGACTTCCCAAGGGATCCACAGCCCCTGCTGCACAGACTCACGTCCCACAGCAGTGTGGTGGTGCAGTGTGTGTAACCTCCAACGTAGCTGTCCCTACAACGTAGTTACTCCTGAGCTGAACGTGATCCTGTAGTACAAACCACTTTTTAGAAGAGGATCCAACGTGCTGCTGCAGGAGCAGGGAGCACCAGGCTGGGAACAACGTGAGCCTGGCCTCAGTGTGAGGCTGCTAAAGAAACAGAGGGTGTGGGATTTACTAGAGAAACCTGATGAGCCAGACGAGTTGGTTCCAACTGAACTAACCCAGCTGGCCGTGAACTTGTAAATAATGGGTGCAATTACCATTGTTTTCTTCATGCTTTCTTCACCCTGTGTGCAGGACGACAGGAACACTCACTGTTTGTTCTAAACTAGAGACAGTAAAGCATGTAAAATACTAGAGACCATGGTAAGTAGAAAACAGGAATGCTCTGGCTTTGGCCTGGGCCTACCCTCCCGGGTCCTGGAGTTCTAGGTGGCTTGAGAGTTTAAAAGAATCATTTGAAAGGATAAAGGTTTGGGGGGACAGAAGGAAGCTCTGCAAGGCTGTGGGTGGTGTCTGAGCAGGCTGTTCAGGTACTTCACCACCCTATGGAAAAAGAGCTTTGCCTTGGTTCTCTCAGAGAACAGTTTTACCCCACGACTGACCTGTAACCAGCGGGGACTCGTTCTGGGTTAACTCCATGGTCTGCCACTTGTACATGGAAATGACCCGAAGGAATTGTGAGCAAGGAGGGTGCAAGAGTCATCTCTGTGATGAGGGGATGCAGCAGCCAGCCCTCCACCTCTGACCTGTGACGTGGCTGAGCAGCAAAGTGGCATCAGAGCCCGGGCAGTGCTGGGATGCTGCAGCCCCTGACCTCCCACACAGGGTATTTTCCCTCTGCAATGGGGAAGAGTGTGGGAGGCTCCTGTTTCTCAGTGTGCGTGAGCTCCTCTCTCCTTCCCTTCTCCCTTCCACTCCCAGTTTATTTCAGTGCTTTTTTAAGAGCCACCGTTCCCCATCGGCTGCTTGATGTAATAGACACATCCCTCTTTCTCACAGTATTTATTCCTTACAAAACCTTGTGTGACATGCTAGGCTCCCCTGGATGTAGCTGATCATTTTTACTTTGTAAATATAATTACCTAACTTTACATTAACTATATCGTAATAAACTATTTTTGCACCACCCTTTGCGTGCCGTGTGTGAGGTGTTCTCTTCCAAAAAGAAGAACAGGGCAGAGGCCAGAGCCTGAAAATGAGGGAGCTGTTTGCTTTTATAGTCACACTTCACAAAGGAAATGCAACAGGCAGCACTTTAATAAGCAGTAATTTATTTAGAGTAGTTTAAATCCAGTGCTGTTGAACGGGATTTACTAGAGAATGACCTTCCCCAAGTGCTTCTGTAGTTGCTACACCACAGGTAACATCGTGTTCTTTCCTCCATCCGAACTTTCTCAGGCAGAACAGAACAAATCTGCAATCTCTGGTGATATCCGTGTATCCTAAATAACACCTAAGGACTTAGAGGAATTGCAGGGCAAAAACCAAATGAGGATGTTGAGGTTTTCTGTGAAAATGGTTTATTTGGCAGTGCCAGTCACAGCACCGCTGGTAAAAAAACTGGTAACAGGTAATCTCTCAAAGTGAAAAAAGGTTAAAGCACTTTGTATTCAGTGTGAAACAATTCTTACACAGCCACTATTCAGAGTTTGAAATCCTTTGGTTTACATCATTTTTCTTCCACTCTGAGCTGCAGGGACAGAGATGTCACCTCCCTCCCCTTGTTTTCCCTCCCTGCTGCTGCCAGCACAGGTGAGGTCACTGACCCAGACTAGGACATGGTGTCCCAGCACCTGAAAGAACCAGGGTTTCCAGACCTCTCCCAAAGTGTGTGACCCAACTCCAGCCATGTCTGCTCTCCAGACAGACTGACTGTTCCCAGAGAACAGTTTTCTCTCATTTCCTTCCAGTCTTGCCTACACTTCCTTGCTGGAAGACAAGTCTGTCATTAGTATCTGTGCTCATTCTTTTACACCAGAGCTCTCTAGTAATCTTTAACCAAAAGAAACATACACAGTCAAAACTTAGAAATTTCTGCCTATTTCCCACAAATTTCCTTTTACAAACTTTCAACAATTAATGCCAACAAGAAATGTAACTCAGGTGCTTAATCTATACAAACTCAAACTGCTGCAGCCCTCTAATCTCTCCTTTAGTTACTGGTGTAGAGGAGCCATTGTGACACAATTCCATTTGCAGTACCCCAAGTTGGCAAATGTGTCTTTTACCACTGAAAAACCTGCCCAGGATGGTATGAACATACCTTGACTGCACCAAGGCACGGCAACGAGTCTGCCCAATGTTTTAATGCCTCTGAATGCAGCTCTGTCACTGTCATCCTCGCAAAACAACTCACAAACAGGTGGGTCATTCCCTCTAGCACAGGAATGACCCACAGCAAGGGATCTGTGGCATTTTAGGGCACTGAGCACTTCATTTTTCTGGAGGAGTTTACCCAAGTTGCACCCAGATGGATACAGAACAATTATGTCTACACAAAATAATAAATTCGTGGGTGTTATCTGTCAAGTGCTCCACCAGCCCCGTACGGCAGCTCAATCAGTTACTGACTTTGGGAAAAACGTAATTGGTGGGATTGTACTCTTCCCAAATCCTTTCGAACTCATCCAGAAAAGGCTTCACGCACGCGGCGTCGTCCACGACCAGCACGTTCTCCCTGTTGCTCTGGATGGCCTGGGTGGTCCAGTTGAGGGAGCCCGTGATGAGCATCCTGCGGTCCACGATGGCGAACTTGTGGTGCATGAACCCGCTGTGCTGGTCGTGGCGCACCTGGATCCCTACAAAGACACGGCAGCTGTTGGGGGCTGTCCGAGCCTCCCCCGTGTCCCCGCGGCCCCCCCGCGCCCGGGGTCGGTGGCGCTCACCCGCGTGGCGCAGGCGGCCGATCTGGGAGCCGTGCAGCCCCATGTACTGCGCGTCCGTCACCAGGCGGACGCGGACCCCGCGGCGGTGCAGCAGCTGCACGGCTCGGGCGAGCTGCGGGCAGGAGAAGGCGAAGATGCAGAGGTCGAGGGAGCGGCGGGCGGAGAGGAGGCGCCGCACGAGGCGGCTCAGCGAGGTCTCGGCCCTTGGCAGCGGGCACGGGCAGGGCAGGGCGGGCGCGCCGGGCGCCGCCGCCTCGGCCAGCAGCGCCTCGAGGCAGCAGGGCCGGGACGGGAAGAACAGCACCTCCCGGAGCGGCCGCGGCCGCCGCCAGGCCGCCACCGCCGCCACCGCCAGCGCGGCCGCCGCCGCCGCCACGGCGAGAAGCGCGGCCCGAGGGAGCCCTGCGGGACTCATCCCGCGGGACTCATCCCACGGGACACATCCCACAGGACACGACACATCCCACAGGACACATCCCGCGGGAGCGGCGCGCAGGCGCGGGAGGCACCGGGGAGGGGCTGCCGGGCCTGGGCCCGAGCCTGAGCTTGGGCCTGAGCCTTCCCCACGCAGCAAAACCCCACACACCGAACTTTTCCCGAAACACTGAACCCCTTCCCATACACCAAACCTGCACGCACACACAAGCACTCATACACTGAACCCTTCCCTTCCCCACACATCCAACCCTTCCCCAAACAGCGAACCCTCCCCTAAACACCAAACCTTTCCCGAAACATCAAACCCTTCCCCACATGCCAAACTCTTCCCCAAACACCAAAACCCTTCCTCACATACACCAAAACCACACACACAGAACTGATCCCTTCCACACACAGCAAACTCTTCTCCAAAAACCAAACCCCCAAACACCAAATCCTTCCCCATATACCCAAGCCATCCCCAAGCACCAGCCCTTGTGCTGCAGACACGCAATAGGGACCCTAAAGATCATCCAGTCCCACCCCCTGCCATGGGCAGGGACACCTTCCCCTAGTCCAGGTTGCTCCAAGCCCCGTCCAACCTGGCCTTGGACACTTGCAGGGATGGGAAAGCCACAGCTTCTCTGGGCAACCTGTGCCAGGGCCTCACCACCCTCACAGCCAAGCATTTCTTCCCAGTATCCCCTCTAACCCTGACCTCTGGCAGTGGGAAGCCATTCCCCCTTGTCCCATCACTTCATGCCCTTGTCCCCAGTCCCTCTCCAGCTCTGCTGTAGCCTCTTTAGGCACTGGAAGGGGCTCTCAGGTCTCCCCAGAGCCTTCTCTTCTCCAGGCTGGACACCCCCAGCTCTCCCAGCCTGGCTGCAGAGCAGAGGTGCTCCAGCACATGAAACATCTCCGTGGCCTCCTCCGGACTCGTTCCAGCAGCTCCACGTCCTTCTGATGTTGGGGTCCCACAGCTGGACACAGCACCCCACGTGGGGTCTCACAAGGGCAGGATAGAGGGGGACAATCACCTGCCTTGACCTGCTGGATCCTGCCCGGCTGAGGGGACAGGGGTGGCAGAACTGGTGCAAAAAGGCTTTGTCTCTGCCTGCACCCAGCAGTGACCCAGCGCTGGCACTCTGGCACTCGCCGCTCCCACCTCGCTCCTGGGTACGCGCTGCTCAGCCAGGCAGGAAAGGAAATCACCTCGGAATAAAGCATTATCCTGCCTTAATCAGTTTGTCTCTAAGGCGTATCGTTTGGAGGGGAGGAGGGTGGTGAAAGATGTCTGCAGACATGACTTTTTGTTAATTAAGTTGTGCACATTCCAGCTATCGCTGACGGCAAAGGGAGCACCCGCGGCCTCAGCGAGCTGCAGGAACTTGCCCAGACAACTATTTGGTAATCCCACGTATAGATGTGTTCTGGCAGCCAAGCACATCTGGGTTATATGCTCACTGACTTAGCAGCTCTCCCCCTTCTTTCCTGTGGGCATTTTATAAGCGCTAAGTTAGTGGTTTCCTTGCCCTGGCTCAAAAATGATGTGTTATCCAGAGTCTGGTTGTCCATGACAGCCCTGTCAGGTCAGGATGAAGATGGAGCAACATCGCATATGACTCACCAAGCACAAGGAAGAAGCAGCAGCCTCAGCCTTGACCTTGTGACCACCTTTTCACTGTTTTGGAAGAAATGACTAGACTAGGTTTTGATGTTGGATTGCTTAGGAAAGCTGGTTTTTAAAAGATAAAACCAGCTCAGCAATTGAGAAGGTGTAAATGCCAAGTAATGTCTCACCTGCTGTGTTATACAGCTCTGAATAGGACCAAAACAGTTTTGAAGTACAAAAATAAAGACTACCCGGACACTCTACAATAAACTAACACAAACAATGTTAAGAGGAAAAGACTATTAAATTCTGTAGGTTAGATCTAGGCTAAGATGCAGGAATTTTGTGGACTAACTGCTGCTTCCCCCACCACCACACACACAAACACATTGCAAATTAACACAAAACCAGGCTTTGTTCCTTTTACAAAAATAGCTCTTATGAGATTTAATGCCTGTCTCCATTTTACAGATGTTCCAGACAAAAATCAACCTGCATATTTTATATATAAGAACAGAATTCGTGACAAGTTGGAACATCCTCTCTGAGCTTGAATGAGTGTAGAAGGTCACCTGGGTAAAACCTGCCTTTAGCTTGGTCAGAATGTCTGTGGTAATGTCAAGTTTTCCCAATAATGATCCAGAAAAACCAAAAAAAGACATAAACCGTAGACTTCACAACAGAAACAGTGATTCCTTACAGTACAGATAAGGAATATCTGCTTAGGTAATTAAAAAATGCACCAATGTTTCCATGAACTATTAAGCAAAAATGGCTACTATAGAGTTATATAAGGGAGCACCTACAGGTTGAATCTCTTCTGCTTAACTTAATTAGGAAGCTAAAAAACTACTTCTGAAGACAGAAGAACTCCAGAACCTTATCCTGGTGAGGGTGTATCTTCATTACCTGGAAGTTCTGCAACCACAGGCAAAACAAGGCAAGTATTTTACCCTCTGAGAGGAAAGCAGGCTGCATTTTGAGACTTCTTATTTTACAATTCGCCCTCCCAGACAAGATTTCCAAAGCAAATGCTGAAACCTTCTCAAGTTAAGATATAAATAAATAGAGAGGAGTGACAGGACTCCCATGGGATATCCTGACTTATGCTACAGCAGAAAATAGTCTCTTAAATCTGAGCATAAAGTGGTTTGAAATAATTTACATGTGATCCACACCCTGTGACGTCTCTTTTTTTTTTTTTTGGTT